CTAGTCCAAAATATCGAAGGCAATATACAGGGCAATGATGAATGTTAATCCTTGCCTGCATCCACCTATAACCTTTATGTTGATCACCTCTTCAATCGATATCCAGGCTCAGGCCTGACGAGACTGGCGCGTTCCAGGTGGTTCAGTCATAGGCATTGCTGAAGTATCTGCATAATCCCTCAAGGTTGACGGTGCACAGTAATGCACACTGCGGTATCAACGAGCTCAATGTTTACCCCAAGCAATGTTAAATGAGAAATAGCTCTATTCACCCAAGGGTGTAGTTGATGTTTGTGAAAAAGAGCTTAATAGCTCATCGGATTCCTCGGTATAAATATTCTGATTCTAAGCCTCATCTGCGTTTGTTTTTTTTTCCAGCTCTTGCTGACGGAAAAAGCTGAAGCGTTGCGGGAAGAAGCTGAAGAGCTGCTGGCCCTTCCTGAACTCCCTCTTCTACTCACGTGATGACATTTACTGTAGCAGGTTTTTTAAAACAGTTAATTTTAACAGTGTATATAATAAATGTCATTTTTCTGTAAATTTGTGAATATTTTTCAATCCTGGGTTTAGTTTGGAGATGCTCACCCAGCTGTTAATGTATACATCTATTTATACTGTATATATTTTTGTGTGCGAGTAGTGCAGTGATTAGCTTACTGTGGTATGAACCCGGCGGCCAGGTTGATTCTCGGCCATGGGTAACATCAGTGGCATCTGAACCAGTCCTGGATCATCCCCCACCTTCACTGACCAGCGTGACTCAGTATGGTCAAACAACCTCCGTGACCCAACGGGGTGGGGAGGTGTTAAGCAGTGGATTGGCAAAGGGTTGTAATTTATTACTTATATTAGAGGTTCTGCTTACTCTACGATGCACTGTACATTGACACTAATCACAAATTAGAATGTTACAAACAATACTCCATTGAAATAGAATATATATACTGTTGCAGTAAATTTCCGGTCAAGCAGTTTATAACTACAACTGGATTGTTCTCAAATGTTTCGCACGTCATGTGCGACTAATAAAACTTGCTTCCATCTGCATTCTTTGACCAAGTTGCTGAACAAGGAATTAGCTATTTGTACAGAAGTGATGCGTGAAATAAACGATGATAAAAGTGACGATGAGTGATCAATGATAAGCGAGTGTAATGAATGGCGAGGGAAGTTGAGAAGAGGAATGACGGTGTTAATGATGGGGAGTTTGGGTAAGCAAGGGAACACATTCCTGCGGAGGGAGCTGGTAGGAACGTTGGGTTGCTCGGTCAATGGCCAGGGTCAACGGCGGCGTGGTGTATTCCGCAAATATACCCGACTGTGAAGGTGGGCACAAGCCGGCGTGAGTAGGTTAAACGTTGAGTTTTATAAGGGCACCACGGGGTGACCAGCCCCACCCCACCCGGTGACCAGCCCCACCCCACCGGTGACCAGCCCACCCACCCAGCCCCTCCCCCCAACCCAGCCCCCCCCTCCCAACCCAGCCCCCCCCACCCAGCCCCCACCCCTCCCCACCCCCCCCACCCTCCCCACCCCTCCCCACCCCTACCCTCCCCACCCCTACCCTCCCCACCCCCCCCCTCCCACCCCTCCCCACCCCTCCCAGCCCCCACCCCTCCCCACCCAGCCCCCACCCCTCCCCACCCAGCCCCCACCCCTCCCCACCCAGCCCCCACCCCTCCCCACCCAGCCCCCACCCCCCCCACCCAGCCCCCACCCCTCCCCACCCCACCCCCCCCCCCCCCTCCCCTCCCTCTCCACCCCTCCCATTTTGGATGCCACGACGGACCACACATAATCCCCTGTGGGCTGGTGGAACCAGGAGGTTCCTACCAGTAAAATAAGTGAGTTAAGAGAAGAACGAAATATGGACAGTGAATCGGATTGTGTCGGGACAGCTTGTTCCAGTGTAAGGGGGCGAGAAGAGAACGTACTCGTGATTGGGCAGGAGGGGGGGGGGACCAGGCAGCTCGGATTGTGAACACAGAGGGGTGAGGAGTGCAGAACGAAAGGAAAGAAGCGAGATACGTTGAGGCCAGACCATAGAGAGATTTGTAAACTCGGATGAGGAATTTGAAAAGGCAACAATCCTCATTTTACTCGGATATTTGCATCTCTTCTTGGAATGGATAAAAATTCCTAGAAACTACAAGTCCTTGGATGATATACGGCCAATTCCTCCAAAAATGTGCTCGCCACACAACAAAATTCCCATCGTGGTGCCTGCGACAAACGCGTGTTTATTCTTGGACTTCTTTCACACCGTATGTATCCAACGCTAATCAGAGGTGCGGTGAAACAACCAAGTGTGTTTGAAGTGTTTCAAACACGTGTCTGATATCTCGAGAAACATGCAGAGACAAATGGAGAGGAAATAAGTATAACCTGTAAAAACAAAGTTTTTCACTATAAATCCTTTATAGGTGTGGCAGCTAGAGTCCTCTCGTCCTCTGGCTTGAGATGGCTGCCACCTATGGTCAGATGATTGTCTGCCAGTATTAAGCAATTGGTAATTAAATATTTAATGTTTTCCCTAAACAGTGTAAAATTTTGGAAAAAATTTCACGAACATTAATTGTCTCGCACAACGAGTCTGTGTGCAAAATGTCAGCTCGATTGGATCACGGGAAGTGGGTTAAAAAACGACCGAAAGGTTTGCACGGTCGTAAGCAAGCAAGCAAGCACGCATGCAAGCAAGCGAACTTAATATAAATGATTTAAAAATGGTTGAGTTGCACAGACCAGCTTTGCTATTATCTTCTGGGTACTGGAGTGTATTTTTTTACGATTGAATATTTACCAATGCTAAATTCTACAATTTAGACCCATATGGCAAACAAGACTACCGCATTTGGTTTTTGGGGAAAAATGGCAACTCATCCGCCGTTATTTTCACTGATTATTGGAGTGGTTTATCCTGATATTCATATTTTGTTGTGGATTAATGTAGCTGTGTGGCTAAAATCTGCGATGTATCATTGATGGGAATTTTCAGTGCCGCATTTACAGGTGAGGTCCCACCCCACATCACCGCAAAGTATTGGAGTTCTGCTGCACCGACTGAAGTGGCAGTCAGGTTCACTTAAATACAATAAAATATAAAAACACGAAGTTTTACATTTTTAATGTTACTTGTACGACTGAAAATTACAAAATGCACAAAACTTGTTTTTACTAAGTGTGCTTAGCAATTTGTTCAGATGCTTAAGCTTTTATGGCATCACCACTTGTAGCAGGTCATTTGTAATTCAAGAAAAATCCGTTAAACATTTTTTTTACAAATGGCATACATTTACGAAGCACAAACCTCATGGCGAAGACAAGCAGCTGCATTATCTACTTAGTGATTACAATGTTTAAAAAGTCCCAATTATTTCCAATACTACATGATCCAAATTGCAATGTAAAACCTTTGGTGCCACTGCAAAACATGCCATACCACAAAATTTTGGCATTTTAAGAATGAACGCTTGTCTCAAATTCTGAACACGTTTAAATTAACTGCATTTGATTATTTTGAAAACCCTATATTACATGCATACAGTACATACAGTAGAACACCTTCATAATTAAAATTAAGGGTATTCAATTTGTAAAACTCCAATGGTATAATGAAAAATGCAAAAAAGTTGATCCTGTGTACATACAGTATATATGTTTGTTTTTTTGCAACAGAAGGCCAATATAAGAATTAGCTAGAAGAGGCAGAAAATAAATCTTTGGAAAATTGTTTACAAAAGGCAAATGAACACCACAATGTCTAAATGAAAAAGTAGGTGTTTAGACCTAACCAACAAACAGATCAACACAAAACAAGCAGAACCAAATGTAATAATGTACTGTACAGATTTACACTTTTTTGAGCTGTCAAATGATTACAGATTTAAATTCCTAAAAACCCTCAACAAGATCAAAACCATACAACCAAATACGTAATAACGATGCAGAAAAACCTTATCCAAGTGTAACTGGGGCAGGAATTACACAAACATGCTGTATCGCAAACACCAGCACCTATAATGCGTTATTGTATTTTTTTATGCTAAAATTTAAACTTGCACAACGGCCCATTGGTGCTACTGTGGTTTAAATCATGAATACAAAGTTTCGGTTTCAGCTCCATTTAGCCAATATCTGCCAGTGAAATACGTACACGCTATGTTACAGACACCCCACAGTTAGCAGTTTGAATTTAAAAGCAAAATACAGTACTAACCACTCCGCCTCTACATTACCATAATGCCTATTATTAGTCTAGCAAACTATAAGCTACATAAAAAATATTTATATACTACTTCAGATTAAACAGTCATGCATTTATTACAGTAGACGCAGAAGATATGTCACATATTTACACTGGTGCAAACAATTCTAGAACCTTTGATGCATTTAGTACAGTACTGCCAAAATGATAGTTTTTCAAAAGATAACTGATATGAAGTGCTCAAGTGAAACCGTGTAAATGATCAATAGCTATTACTGTGTTTTAACAAGACAGTATGGCCAAGAGCAGAAACAATTTAGAAAAAAATGTAGTTGTAATTATAATAGAAACAAAATACACCAATAATTTGACAACCTCTAACCAGAAGGCCAGAAATATGGAGAAAATTACGGAAATTCACAGGTCAAGCAAGAACTGATAAATGAGAGGTTGAAATCAGTCAAGATGCTGATATTGTGGTGCATCTGGAAGCACTTGCCGTCAAGTTATGCATTTACACGTGCAAAACGTTACTGACTTATTTTAGCAACTGACTTCGGATATTAAATTACTGTATATACCTTAAGATGACTCATAAAACATAGTAGTGTAATAAAAAGCAGTATTATAGATTGATGTAAAATTCATGTCTTAAAAGTAAGCTGCATATAATTGTCAGGCCACATCCAAAAACAAGTAAACGGGTTATAATTTTTTATCACAGCGGATCTTATACTTGCATATTTTAGTCCCCTGTAAATCGTTCTAGAATCACTGCAGTCTTGCTGGGATAAACTCAGACCATAGCACGGTAAGGGCCCTGCATCTTCAGATATTGTATTATGAAGGAAGGTCCACTGCTCACAATGGGGCCAGGCAGCTGACTCAGAGGGCAGTTCTCAATACTCATTATGAGCAGCTTTGAACAAAGGGCCAACTCAAAGGGTAAGTTGTGCAGGTTGGGGTTGTCATTCAGGTACAGCTCCTCCAGGTTCTCCAGCGTTCCTGCAAGCCAGAGAAAGCCAGATGAATACACAACTGAGCCAACCACTCGTTTTGTAACCGCCTGAAAAATAGCCCGAGATTTGGTGAGGTTTTCTGGGTTTATATCAAGCACATAATTTTTTTTTCCCGAATGGATTTGTCACACATCACAATCCAAGGCCCTCTTGAATTTATTGGCTCAGGTCAGCCTTTCCTGGATAAATATAGGGCATTATTACCAGTGCAGTAGAAGCTAGATATAAGCACACCCCTTGGGAGCAATTCTAGCTGTGCTTATATCCAAAGTGTGCTTATATCTGAAGTTGCCCTTTGCCTTCCCCCCACCAGTGTAATGTAAGAATGTATTGGTTATATCCAGCTTGTACTGCATTACAATCAAGCTTACCGAGCTGTGCATTAGTTTCCATCAGTGTTAGCACTGCACTTCCACGTGTGTAGGTTTGTTCTTGGCAACACATGAGTTATGGGTAAATATGCTTACATTTTCAATGCTGATGCTTTATTAACATATTGCCATGATAAAAAATGGACTTACCTATTTCTTCTGGGACATGGGTGAGCTGGTTTTCCCCAACCATGAGGTGTGTTAGGCTGCAGAGGTGACCGATTCCTCTTGGCAGAGAAGTCAGCTGGTTGTTTGTCAGAACTAATTTCTGTTCCAGAGTAAATATATGCAGCAGAAAGCAGCCATTGTATAAATGCAAAACTATAGTATAGGACTGTATCACACAAGACATTGTAGGTTTTTTTGTTCTAGCCTGGTAGGCACCGCAAAGGGAACGATATAATTACCAGCACATTTTGGACTTCTGGAATACCAACTGATTTTCCAGAACAAATACGATGCAGTACACCAAGTCCTCAACTTACGCTGCTCCTATACAAGCCGTTTCACTATAACGTTCCCAAACGAATTGGGGGACGTAATTCGATTTAAAATGCATTTGATTTATTACGTTGTTTTGAACATTTAAAGTAAAAAACGCAATCGTTTGGGACAGCGCACGTGACGACGCACAACGCCACGGCTCCCCCTAGTGGCCGCTAAAGCCACAGTTCACAACATCGCCACTCTATACTGAATGCAATCTCCGCTGCCATCTCTGGTGAGGACTCATTATTTATATAAACTTGTTATAAACTATTTCGTGGGTATCTTGTTAGATTTATTTTTTTATACTTCTATGTTTTCTGCAAATTGATGAAATAAATAACCCCAGGAACGTATGCTACATTTATATCATTAAGTCAATAGTAAACTAGGTTTAGATTCACATTGTTTCGCCTAACGTCGCATTTTTCAGGACATATCCCCAAAGCAGTGGCCTTACCATATATCTACATAAACTCATGTAAGGTATAAACAAACTATCCAGTTTTTATGTTATCAGGTAAGGCCCACTGAGCTATACAGATTTTTTTCAAAAGCAACCTGGCCAGAAATGATAGCTCAACGAAGTAGCATATCACGTGGAAAGGCATAGCAGCCAAACTCTAAAGGCATATTTATAACAGTCGAGGTACGCCAGCAAAGTTATCCACCCGAGTAATCGAAATGGGAGCTTGGCAAGTGGATACGTTGCAAAGTGTTTTGTTATTATTTTCTCCAAAGCTTCAGTTCAGTGTAATGCCAAATGCCAGCTCAGCAGCAGTTTAAGATTGTTTGGGTGAATTACGGATTTGAATACATTGCAGCACAAATCAGTGATTGAAGAAATACATTATCACAAAATGTAGCTAGAGATAAAACCTGGATTCATTACTAGAACAGAGGCAAAACAGGAAGCTATCCCATGGAAACACATTCAACACTTCAAAACATTAATGTAATCATCAACTAGAAGACCATGGCGACATTTGATAAAATGCCACAGAAAGCCAGAATTGGTGGGCAATGGAATGCTGCCAACAATTGTAATACATAAACAATAAACCAGGGTAATTATCAATTAGTGATCAGCTTAACATTTTCTATGAGGATATTTTACATAAATAGGGTCTCATGCAGAGCCACCACGAACCTGCAAGTCCTTGAGGTAAGCGATTTCATTCGGCAGAGACTCCAACTTGTTCTCTTCGAGGTCTAATTCCCTCAGCTTTCGCAGATTGCCCAAACCATGAGGCAGTTTCCGCAAAAGGTTGTTAGACAGCACCAGTATCTGAAACAAAAATGTGCACAAGTTAAAATTTTAACCACTTATACAACCTAACAACCTGAAAAAGTGTCATCTTATATTTGTGCACAGTGAGCGTTATTACATGCAAAAGGTTTCGTGTTTAATTGCAGCGAATTACACCGACCTCTAGAGATGTCAGCTCTGAGATGTCATCTGGAATTTTGGTGAGCTGATTTGTGGCCAAGTTCAGTTCCACCATGCTCTTCCAGGTGCCAATGTCCAGAGGCAAGGAGGTCAGCTGATTATCCTAAGAAGCAACACGGCAGCGCCAGTTAATTAACTTCGGTGCACAATTCCATTGACAGGAATATACTTTCTCTTAAATGTGAAAAGTGGCTCACCACAACACCCTCGTCGTATTTACCTTCATGTTCAGTTTACTGAGGGCTTTTGCACGGGAGAAGATGCCGAAGGGAATTTTGCCGATGTGGTTGTGCTCCATGTTGAGGGAATAGACCGTCGTGAACTGGGAGGGCCCACCCACGGGATAGGCCTGGAAGCAGTTTCTGGCTAGGGTCAAACTGCTGAGGTTCACCAGGCTTGAAAGAAGACCCTGGAGGTGGATTACACATGTCAGTGTTATGTTACAGTGCAAAAACAGCCCCACCCAGAAGGCGATTATATAATATTGAATAAAAAAAAGTGTAAGTAATGGGTTTAGGTATCACACACACCTCTGGTAAAGTGGAGATGTTATTGTTTTCCAAGTTTAAGTCTTCCAACTCGGTGCAGTTGGCCAGGGTCGTGGGCACTGCAGAGAGTCGGTTGTATCGCAGACCGAGTCTGTTCAGGCTTGCCAAGTTACCTGTTGAGGCAAGAACATTTGTAATTAGTTTTGCACCTTACACATTTGCATACACATTTTCAAATGTAACTCGTGTTCCCAATGTATACAGGTATGTGTACTTTTTGGTCATTCAACTTTAATGGCTTATCTAAAATAACCAAGGATAACAAACCGATTTAATATATTTATTCCTTTTCCTTACCATCAAATATAGGATGTAATATACAACCAAAATATAATAAAACTGTCCATTCAGAAATGCAAGACACTTGAATGCCATAATAACATGGAAAGACGATTGAGTGGTGTATTCCCAGCATAAGAAACTTTTATAATAGCATATAAGCACCATTTAATTTTAGATGTTATACAAATATGCTTAATATGGAGGGAAAAAGCATGAGGACACTGCATTATGAACACCGCAAACCAAGTTTTATTCCCAGAGATGGCTAACATCAGTGGCAAGTGATATCTGAACTGTTACGAACCAGCATTTATTATATTATTTTTATTTTACTTAAAATTTTAGATTTTTTGCTTCCCATTTACGTGACCTTACCGAAAGAACCAAGAATAAGCATGAAGTATGGTCAAACAATCCCATGACTGCCACAGTGGGGAGACTTTCATCCAGCAGTAGATTGCCAAAGAACTGTAATTATTATAAATATACTTGTTTGTGCCAAAGTACTTTGCCAAGTATTTTTTAAAAGCTACAGTATCATCATTATCATTCTATCAATATGCAATACATTTTTATACAACAGCTGCAATTGTGCATAGATATCACTTTATGGCATAAAATACATGATGGCATGAGATACAGTTTTCAAAGTTGACTCCTCTGTGGTTCTCTACATTAAATGTTTGAATTGCATTTTTACAGCCCAAGAAAACACGACCAAATTAAAGAACCTTTATATTCACTGATGATTTACAGACATACAGCAGAAAAAACATTGCGTGCAGTGCCATCCCATGGGGGTTAGAACAGTATTTGGTTTCAATACCGTTTCACTAATCAGCACACTGTGCTAAAAACACCAGTGTTTTGTGCGTATAAAAAAAAAGTTGGCAGTGGTCCTACCGTGCCGTCTAAAAGTTCTCCGAAACTTAAATGCAAAATGCTGAACTGCCAAAACTTACTGACACCATCCTCCATAATGTGCAACTAACGGTCTCAGAAACTTGGCAAAGAATCAGAGCAACACTATAATTGTTTAACTGTTGAAAATTAATTCTGAACAGAAACCTATTTAGTGTGACGACATCACTTCTCATGAAAAAACTGGTTTGTACTGACTTGATATGCTAGTGTATTTTTGTAGCTACAAATGTACCTTAAGGATCAACCCACAATGCTAAATTTAAAACAAAAATAGTAACTTGAGTTAAAATGTCAGACAATCAACAAGGATAACATTTTGTCATGGCAGGATGTGTACATAAACTATTTCACATGCCTCTCAAACCTATATCCCTGGCTTTCGCTTCCTACATTTAAGGAACAAAAACTGTTGCAATAATAGGTTAAGCATGGGACTTTATCATGGTTATCTTTGTTTTTACTATCCTTCACAGATAAAGAGATGGTGGAAGAACACAAAGTACATGCTTAATACATATAAAGCTCTACAGCATTCTCAATTTTCTTATGCAAGCCACAATTATATTTGATGCGAGGTGCAAAACAACCATTGTCCCGCTATAACAGAGCATAATTGGATACTAACAACTTAAAATGATCACAGATAGAGTTATATTGCAATCAACTGTGTTTGAAGACCAATCTCTTTGGTCTAACACAATTCCCTGTGGGGTGATTTGTCTGACGGCTTGACATCAGTCGTTGATGATCGGTTTGTGCATGGAATTAGCTTTCTCGCTCAAGAGTGGGTTAATAAATCCAGGTTTGTGGGTTTCTAGTCTGCGTGTGTGGTCTCGTGGTCTCGGTTTACTGGGTTGCCAATTTAGGTTTGTGGGTTCGTAGTCCAAGTTTATGGGTGCATAGCCATGGTTTGTGGAATCGTATTCCGAGTATCAGGAAGCTCAATCCAGTTCCTGCACGTAGGGTGTTCGTGGTGCGCCGTGCTGATCGATGTTGTGCTCAAACGGAGTGCACCATGGACACCATCTGATAAGGAAGGTGTAGCGGTTTTTTTAAAATTATGATAAATGTATTTTATAATCTCTTATATATTTGAACTTTGTATCTATATATATAAAATCGTGCATGTCTGTCTGTCCGTCTGTGTGTGTGTGTGTGGATTTCGGACCATACGCACTTTCATTGGACGGCGGTTGCCCCTGGCAACGGCTAGCGACGCCTTCGCCGCTTTCATTGGACCTGGCAACGGCTAGCGACGCCTTCGCCAAGGGCTGCAGTTTCATTGGACGGCGGTTGCCCCTGCCAACGGCTAGCCACGCCTTCGCCACTTTCATAGGCTCCGTAAATAATTAAATAATAGCCATTACACAGTATTGTTGGAGCGCTAGGGGGGGGGGGAAGGAACGCCACCCGTACCCTGCCTCTGCCGGGTGGACAATTTTGGCGAGGCCGCAGGCTCTGCACGCTACTAGGCCTCGACACCCACCACGCCACTCTGAGGTAAATTCATCAAAGTTTTTCCTACTCTTCACTCCACCCCCACCACAATGTGTGCAATTAATATTACTTTTAAACCCAACGCGCCAACAATCGATTACTTAAATGTTCACTGTACAAATAGTCATTAAGCTGGGTCAGCGTACTGCCAGTCTATCATGTAGACTGTAGCCTGCTTATTAAGCTCGGTGAGCGTACTGCCACTCTATCATGTACACTCTAGCCTGCTTATGAAGCTGACTGCGTGTACTGGCAGTCTATAATGTGGACTGTAGCCTGGTTATTATAATCGATTCTTTATATGTTCTTTGTACAAATAGTCATTAAGCTGGTTGAGCGACCCCAGTTCGATTCCAACTCACGCCCACCACCGCTGACGATTATTTGAAACGGACCTGGCCCTCCCCTAGGTCCACTCAGCCTCAAACGCGTAACTGCTGTCGTGTGTGAACATCGTCACTGGGGAGACAAAGGCGGCCGGGCATCGTGGATCCAAGTCCCGGGCGAAGCCGGGTCATGTGTATGTGTGTATGTGTTTATGTGTATGTCTGTGTGTCTGTATGTATGTGTGTATGTATGTGTGTGTATGTGTTTGTGTGTGTGTGCATGTATGTGGGTTTTTTCTATGTCTTTATGTGTATGTCTGCGTGTCTGTATGTATGTATGTACGTGTGTGCATGTGTTTGTGTGTATGTATGTGTGTGTCTATGTATGTGTGTGTATGTGTTTCTGTGTATGTATGTGTGTGTATGTATGTGTGTTATGTGTCTGTCTGTGTGTCTGCATGTATGTGTGTGTGTATTGTGTATGTGTTTGTATGTGTTTGTGTGTTTACGCTCGCATTACACAAATGTGTTGCAGGTCTAAGGAGTTCCTTGCGCAGCATTGCCGCTTTATTATTTCAGTCGTTTACTGCCGTACGCACCCTGAAAGTCGTGTGTGTCTGCAGCAAGCGCGTGTATGTGTACCTATGGACGCGCGCGCGTGTGTTGTGTAGGGGGAACGGTAGTGTAGTGCTTAGCGTGCTGCCTGTGTCTGTGTGTGTGTGTCTGTGTGTGTGTCTGTGTGTGTGTCTGTGTGTGTACGTGTGTGGTGTGTGGGGAGCGGTAGTGTAGTGGTTAGCGTGCTGTCTGTGTGTGTGTGTCTCTGTCTGTGTGTGTCTGCGTGTGTCTGTGTGTGTGTCTGTGTGTGTGTCTGTGCGTGTGTGGTGTGTGAGGAGCGGTGGGTGTAGTGCTTAACGCTACGCTGCGCTACCAACCCGGCGAACCCAGTTCCATTCCCGCTCACGGCCACCACCGGTGACGATTATTTGAACCTCCCCTAGGTCGACTCTGCCTCAAACGAGTAACTGCTGTAGCGTATTAACATCGCCACTGGGGAGACAAAGGCGGCCGGCCGTGGTGGATACAAGTCCCGGGCGAAGCCGGGTAGTACAGCTAGTACTCTATACTATGTTGTGTACAGTATTCCCTTTGTTATTCAAGAACTTGCTATCCATGATTTTGTTCATCCGCGAATCGCATCTGGAACTCTACACGACTGCATTGAGAGAGAAAGAAAGCGATCAGATAAAGTGATGAGAGAGAATGTTATGCGAGAAAGTGATGAGAAAGTGATGCGATCAAGTAATGCGATCAAGTGATGCGATCAAGTGATGCGATCAAGTGATGCGATCAAGTGATGAGATCAAGTGATGAGATCAAGTGATGAGATCAAGTGATGAGATCAAGTGATGAGATCAAGTGATGAGATCAAGTGATGAGATCAAGTGATGAGATCAAGTGATGAGATCAAGTGATAAGATAAAGGATAGGTTTTCATAAGCCAATATCACGAACAACGAGGGAATACTGAATCTCAAATTTTAATCATGTAATGTTATGTTTACACGTGAAGTGCTCTATGTGACAATTTTATCGTGAAGGGCCGCTCTGTTAAAGTTTGAGTGACCGATTTAAATCTTACCTATACTGTCAGGAAGGTCAAGGAGCTCATTGTGTTGAAGGTCAAGGTTGGTGACTTGTACACAGTTCCCAATCTCCTCTGGCAAGTGCTCCAGTTGATTGTGTGCCACATCTAGTGTCAATAAACTCCTCAGCTCTCCTGGAAAACAAAAGAATGCAAAATGTTTTAGTGCTTATGGTGTAAATATCGAAAACAAGAAATACTAGAATTGCTGAGCAAGTCAAAACTACTTTGCCAATAATTCTAGGCACCCAACATTATTATCTTACCACATGCTTAAAACTGTTGTAGACTGTTTAAAAACTATTGGATGACTTTCATGCCTCACCTGCAAATTACATTCCCTCTCTATATATTTTAAGTGGTTTATAGCATGGACGTTTGTATACTTCATCCTTATTCAACTATCTTGAGTCAGTGAGGCATGACATCATGGTTACACATCTCATTTGTGGCCACATAGGTGCCAAGGTAAGCTTATGTTATCCTTACAATACCTCTTTCTGAAAAGTAATAGGGACTGTTAAGTTGTGGTGTAAAGGGCCATCTCTTTTCTAGGTTTTTTTTCAAATACAATATTTTTAAAAGCCTTTTGAAAATTAACAGGTCAATACAATTAACGAATAGAACTGCAGAGAATAAACTTAATTACTATACTAACAACTGGCAATATATTATACATGCTGCATTAAAAACAAAGAACAGTTCAACTTTATAACCTCAAACTGTACAGTCCAAAGTTTAGAGTTATACATTAAAGGTTACTTCATACACCCACACACCTACTTTAAAGAATTCCTTTGTGCTATTTTAGTTAAACATTTTTCAGACACAAATGTGTGGGTTGGTTTGAACAATGTGACAAGAGAAATGCATTACTCATCTGCAGTCCCTCTGTATTGCGCTAATGTAATTGCATTACTTAATTTCTGTAAATGTTTAAATTGTAATAGGCAAAATATATACTTTAAATAAATCTGAAATCTTAATACAGAATTTTTGACGAATACAATGTCACTGTGGTGGTGTTGACAATGTAGGATTAATATATTTTTGACATGTTTGTATTCAATCAAATATCGTGTTACTTTGATTGTTAAAACTTCAGGTCACCCCTTACCTATCTCAGCTGGGAGCAGCTTGATCTTATTTTCTCGAACACTCAGCATGGTGAGTTTACTTAAGTTTCCAATGTCCTTTTCCACCTGCAGTGAAAACAGTGTAACAAAAATGCTTCAACGCTCCAGAAATAATCCTTTCATTGTTGAAAAACGTAGAATTTTGCAATTAATTACAAAACTATTGTAAATATTTCAGTGGGTGATATGAAGCTTAATTGGCCCATGTGCTTTAGAACAGTAAACATTTGCAAAAAAATGTACATAAAACGTATACATCACTTTGTGATCCATCAATTAAGAGCACTTTCCAAGTCTAATTCATTATTACCGTACTTTACATTTCAGCCGGCATGTTTAAACGACAACAAGGGTTATCACCTGAGTGATGCGATTGAAGCGCAGGTACAGCACAGTGAGCGAAGTAAGACGGTAGACCACAGGTGGAATAGATCTCAGTTTGTTGTGGCGCAAATCCAACATGCGCAGGCTGGTGAGGCCTGTCAGCGTGTCAGGGAGGCCGGTCAGTGAGTTTTCATTGAGCGCAAGAGTCACCAGGTTCACCAAACAGCCAATCTCTGTCGGTAGGCAAGGAAGACGGTTTCCATAAAGGTACAGCTCTGTCAGCTGTGTCAGCTCCTGAAAAACACATCATATCATCAGTTAGCGGGTGAATATTTTAAAAACCAAAAGTAGTGAAAGCCAAAACGAATACAACGTATTTATTTGCTCCTATAATAATGTTGGGCACTGTATATAAAAAATACGACTCATCCAATTTTTTACAAGCTCTGCACATTTAAATTAAGATTTAGTATCCCTCGACTGCTGTAATATGTCCAAGAGGCTAACAGCTGACCACACTGTCCAAACAGCTGCATGAACCATAAGTTCTATGTGCATGCGCCACACATTCATTGTAAAGTCCGTGCTCTGCACAAACATAGCTACTCTCTCCCAAACATATTGAGCTGCAATGTGATATCCAACAAATCACCAACACAACTTTCTCAACAGAAATTAACTTGAACTAAAAAACTATATTTGTGCTAGGATGTATAACAAGATTATCACATTTTGCACAACGAGCAGGTGTGATTTAAAATGTTAGATTTTCTTAACACACTTCGGATACCTTTATGTTTGGAGGCAAACTTGCGATGGAACGCTTTGCCAAGTCCAGTCGGGTCGCATTCTGCTCCTTGCACTTGTTAAGTTCCTTCACCACTTCCATGTTGGAAGACTTCTTCCGTGGGATTTGCGAGTTGGGACGTTTGATAGTATTGTCTACAACAAACGCCACCTGCCCTTGTCCACCACCCGAGTCCTTTTTGGGTTCTTTCTTCAAAGAGCTGTTGCTGGCACTCATTTTGGTGCTTATGTAGGGTCCTTGCTAGGTGCTAAATTTTGGAGACCTAATGGATGTTTTTCAAACGATTACGGGTGATCACAAGTATCGAACAGTTCCGTATACTTCGGAGTTGTACGTTTACATGTATAAAACTATGCGGTCCACAATTCTGTGTTAAGTGAGATCATTGAAGTTGGCTATGGTATCCATTGATCACAAGAAAATCCAGACTGATGTTCTTCAAAATCTAATAGACCTAGGAGTGAGGAAAGAACGTAAAACAATCAAGGATTTTTGCAACATGTCTCTCTTCTGTAATGCAATACCTTTTTACTGTTAATCAGTTAAGTACCAGCACTCAAACCAATGTCTACATATGTGTGAAATATAGCAATTACATTGAAACACATACGCTGGATTGTTAGCTTTACAAGTAAAATTCAACCTCTGGGAATATCAAAGCACATGCACTTAACAGCAATAGATCAATGGTGACATGGAGACAGCAAACCCAAAGACTGCTTTCATCATCAATACAAAGCTTTCAATGTGAGAAGTGAAACATCCCTTATAACCAATTAGAATGGATCATTGGCACCAACAGAGAACACTAAAACACGTCAGGCGATCAGCACAATAACTCATACATCATCCCATCGCCAATCTCCAGAGGCCGACCACTTAAACATTTAGGATTTCATATTTGTTGGCTGCTGTTCAAAGAAAAAAATCCCTGCAACCAGACTTGGCAGCAGTCACGAGATGGAAACTACTGTACTCGCATACTTCGCACAAAGGTAAACATTAAATGTTAATCTTCTTGGTTCTTTCGGTAAAGTCACGTAGAAGGGAAGTAATAAAATATTACTTCCCTTCTACGTGACTTTACCGAAAGAACCAAGAAGATGAATCCCTGCAGTCACGAAAGCTTTAAATCGAAAATTAAATGTTAAATCAAAGTTTTAATTTAGTTTAAAATACAATGCAATAATTTCCAATTCACTACCAGCTGCATTACACATTTCAAGCTTGCCGTGTTAAGCATTGTCACAGTTTCTCCGCATCCACGGATGCCAGGAATGTAACACGCAGAGTCAGCGCTGGCACGTAATACCCGCACACATACAAGGGCCATTGTACAATTAAAGCAGTGGTCGAGACAGGATCCGACGGCTAACTATGAGGAATCCCTGGCATTTGCACTGCTGTTGTGCGAGTCGTTAACGTTTCAACAGTTCACCTCATTAAAATGAAACCAGCAGCGAACGTGTATTCGTGTATAGTCTTGTGAAATAGACCAACACAATTACGAAGCACTGCACCCAGCTCTCCCCTGTAACGCAAAGGCAGCGCGACAAACATACACCCCAAGACGTTGGTGGCGCTATAAACATCAGAAACACGCGGCCAAAAATTGCAAATGCCTTACGTTGCAATGCGGAGCTGTAATGGAAATAGTTTAGGGGCGGAACGCACTCACCTACCGAATGGTAACCCTACCCCGAACCAACTTACCCGCGATAGTAAAAAGCCCTTTCACTGACCCCAACACTACACTACCCCTAAACCACAACCTTCCACGATGTGGTTTGCGCACTTTTAGTGTACGTGGTCTCAGCGCAAATCTACTGCAGCGCTTTTGGAGACACCAATAAGTGGAAGGGAAAATGATCGGAGTGATAGAACATCATTAAAGTCTTGACACATCATGGAGATGTCATGATTACATTAGATTGATTTGAATTGTTTGCCCTCGTATGCACCACACGCAAAACACCAATCAAAAAGCAATTAGTCAAACACCACAGAGCAAGATCCTCCTCAAAGTCTTGGGAACACCGTAAGATTTCCTGAATACATGACATCATTATTATATTAATTCGCCTTCCCCGACGACTCTTGAGACACACTCAGTGACGGCACAAACAAAAACATCAACATTCAACCGATTTACACTGAAATCCGACGATTACTACCCGCTCACCCCGAAGATACCCCCCTCCCCGACCCTCAACCCGTCCACACCGTCCCGCGGGGCCCAGTGCGACCTCGCGCGGCGGGGAATCCAGGCAAGGACGTGGCTTCAGGCGGGCCTACACCGCAGCTGCGTACAAACAGTCGATGCGCGTCGCCGACGAAACGAGCACGCGTTGCACGAGACGCTCCTCGTACCTCGAGGGAGGGCGATCGCAGACGCAACAGACGGTGGTTGGGCGGTCGAGAGCGAAGTGAGACGCGCAAGAGACGGACGCCGAGGAGAGAACGGGCTGGCGGAACGCTTCACATTTCCCAGCCCGCTTACGCTGCTGCCCCTCTCTCTCTCTCCCGCCGCGCACGCGCCCATTGGTCCGTCGCGCCCACGTGACGGCGCCTCTGTCCAATCGCGCGCGGAGACGCGAGGGTGGTGTCGATTATCCGCTCTGGGGATTGTAACTTGGGTCTGACGTCATCGCGAGCGTTCAACTTGAAGGGGTGGGGGGGGGATACACGGGCGGTGCAGACAGAAGGGTGGCCGTGTACCACAGCATCTGTGCGGCGTCGTGTACAACAGCATTTGTACTCAGCACAGCGCAGACAGAAGCGTGGGCGGTGTACCACAGCGTTTGTGTGGTGTACAACAATAAACAGAATTATGGCCGTGTACCACGGCATTTGTACTCAGTATAGGTCAAACAATGCGTGGCGGTGTACCATAGCATTTGTGCAGCGCCGTGTACAACAGCATTTGTACTCAGCACAGCTCAAGACAGAAGCGTGGGCGGTGTACCACAGCATTTGTGCGGCGCACAGCCACAGACACAAGCATGGCCCTGCACAACAGCATTAGTACTCAGCATAGCTCAGACAGAAGCTTGGCGGTGTACCATAGCATTGTGCGGTGTACAACAACAAACAGAAGTATGCCGTATACCACGGCATTTATACTCCTAGCATAGCTCAGACAGAAGCGTGGCGGTGTACCATAGCATTTGTGCGGTGGACAACAACAAACATAAGTATGGCCGTGTACCACGCATTTGTACTCAGCATAGCTCAGACAGAAGCGTGGCGGTGTACCACAGCATTTGTCCGGTGTACAACAGCAAACAGTATGGCCGTGTACCACGGCATTTGTATGCAGCATAACCGTGACAGAAGCGTGGCCGTGTGCCACAGCATTTATACAAGGGAGCAGACAGAATTTAGCCGTGGGCTGCATACACAGGTTGCTGTGCGGCACCAGCGCAGGAAGCGTGGCCGTGTGCCACAGCATTTGCTCGCGGCTCAGCCAAACAGAATGTGGCCGTGTGCTGCACACAACTGCTGTGGGGCTCCCGGCGCAGACAGAAGCGTGGCCGTGTGCCACAGCATTTGCTCGCGGCACAGCCAAACAGAATGTGGCCGTGTGCTGCACAACAGTGCTGTGGGGCTCCCAGCGCAGACAGAAGCGTGGCCGTGTGCCACAGCATTTATACAAGGGGGCAGACAGAATGGGCTGCATACACAGGTCGCCGTGGGGCCCCCGGCGCAGACAGAAACGTGGCCGTGTTGGGCAGCGCTTTTGTTTTTGTTTATGAAAGCGAGTCCACACGGGTCGTCTTGGCAAGGGAGCTCCATTGTTCCAAGAACATTGGCCGCACCTCCGATTCATCACGGTTGGCTACGTACGGTGCAAAATAAGTTCAACATACAAGACAAAGAACCCCCCCCCCCGTATAGCCTTAGCAGACTGTTGGGGAAAGTGCTGTTTAGGTGGCACCAACATACATAGTACTGTAACACACACTCGGAGGTAGCTCTTCATCAGCTACTTTCTTACTATCCCCGGAGCCCCAAACTTATATATCCTCCTGCTCCCGACTTTCTAGAACCTTTCTACACGTTTTTCTCAGCCCATTCTTGTTTCCCTCTGAATACTGGACAATATCTTTGGGTTTCATCCAATCCCCTATCTAATTGTCCGCGCCTTTGTTCCCACCGCACGACATTTCACACGACGACCACCGACCCGAGAAGAAGCCTCCTTTCGGCTTTGCACTTCTATGCTTCCCCTACCAACAGCACACATCCCATCGCTTATCCTCCCCTCCCGCGGGTGTAAAATAAAAGATGTGGTGGGGGGGGCAGCTTTTTGCCCCCCCCCAGAAAGTGAGCCATACATTGAGTAACCCTGGTCGCTGAATGGGAATTCCAAGTTGTCTTCCTAAAAAATTCTGATGAATATTGATCGAAATGCGCGCAGTGGAGTTCCGTGGTGGCTTTCAATAAGCAGAGCGCACTAAGCAAGGACGTTTCTGCCTCTCCCCACAGTGTTAAACGACCTCGTTAGCACAATGAACATCAATTTAGATTCCCTCTAGTGAGCACCACCCCTTCTTTCTATCTCTCTCCTGGCTCCTGCCCCCTCTCTTACCTAGACAGCCTCTTGTCACAGATGCCCTCTTGACCCCTTCACCAAATTGTTTCTTGCTGTGGTTGTCCCACACGATGACGGGCGCTGGTGTAGCGCCCGAAACGTCGTCATTTAATTTACTTTATATCATACCTACGGGACTTTACCTAAAGAACCAAAGGGTAGAAGAAAGCGCATCGTTGCAGACCGAGCGTGGAGTGTCAAGATCCAGCCAACAAGAGGCAGGCACCATGGGACCTCCTTGCTGACCTCTCGGTGTGCCCCAACCCGAGCTAAATTCCACAATCACTACGGTAAAACTCTTTCTTTATTGACTTAATGCACCCCTGAATGTTGTATAGTCATATTACATGGGGGGGGGGGGGGGTGGTTAAACGTGTCGGGTGATCCTCCACCCACACGGCACAGCCAAGTAATGTTTGTCACGTCAACACAACGTGGTGCCAATTAGCTACCACTTCAGCCCACCGGTGGTGGGAGAGTACATCCACAACATTGACGATTTGAGTAGTCCGACGTTTCGCTGGTAATTACATCAACCAGCATCATCGGGCGATTTGCCAGTATAGAGAGGCAATCCACCACCTGCTTCCAAGGTGTTCTGTGAATATCGCAAAAGCCTTCGTGTTAAACTGATTACAAATACTCTTAGTTTTTTTCGGTAAAGTCACGTAGGAAAAAATAAATAATAAAATATAGCAATAATAATAGAAATAAAATTATAAATCACGACGTTTTTTTAAGAGCTTGTCTCTTGGATTGTTCCTCACTTGATACAGTAAATCTAGCTGTGACGGTCCCACCTGATGACGGAGACTTGTGTTGCCTCCGAAACGTCGTGATTTATTATTTTATTTCTATTATTATTTCTATTATTTTTATTATTTATATTTTATTTTTTACCTGCGTGACTTTACCGGAAAAAAAAAACCTAAGCGTATGAATCCTTGCAGTCACGAAAGCTTCAAATCTAGAATTGATTACATATAAACATATGCTTTGTCCATGTAACAGCCCTCTTCCAAGACGTCTGGATAGCGTGGAAGAGTAGGCCAAACACACCCTTTGGTTCTTTCGGTAAAGTCACGTACACAATCGAGAACAAAGCAATTGCAGGTCCGCGCCTTTGCCCCCGCTCAGCACCCCCCCCCCCCGAGTCTAATTCCGTGACGTCACTCCCCTTCGTGTCTCGCGGTGACGTCACGTAACAACAACAGCTGACGGGGGGGGGTCAGCATCGGCACGCGCCTCCCCTCTGCATTTCATACAGCTGGTTAGCGGCCCCGCTCGCCCTGCCTCGCCATTGGTGGAGCCGGCGTGCCCGATTATCGCCCCCACCCCACCCATCGCACCGCTTGCCCCACAGACCAATCGCGAGGCGGGGATTCACGCTCACCTCGCGCCAATCGCGATCCTCCACCGGCGACTTGCGCCAAAGGCGACTCGCCGATTGGTCGAGGGCGCAGGGGGCGCGAGCCTAGGCGACCAATCGCGCGCTGCTCTCCCGGGGGGGGAGGGGGGTGTGGCCTATTTAACCCAATCACGAGCCGTGCTGCGGCAGCAACGCGGAGGGCGGCTCGCGATTGGTTAAAGAGCTCGTCTCGACCAATCGCGAGGCGCCGTGGAGCCGGGGTTGCGCTTATGCGATCTGCGAAATCCAAAGTCGGTCTCCCCCCCTCCCCCCAGCTTACTTCCGCGCGGTGGAGCGGAGTGAACGTCTCGGTGTCGTCTTCGCGGTGAGTCGCTCCTTTTTTCATCCACGGCGACCTCCGCGTTGCGCTCGAGGTGTCTTTCAACAGCGACGAGGGAAGGAGCGATGGTGAATGTATGTGGGGGGGATTTTGTTCCGACGAGCGCGTGTGGTGGGATAGGCCGCAGGGCACGTCACCGCGCTCGCCTAAGTGGGCTGCCGGGCTTACAAGGGGGTTGAGGCCGCCGGCCTCGCACGATCACCCCCCCCCCTCCACCTCCACAATTCGTGTTGGCTCACTCTGCTGTCAGCTACTTTCCCTCTTTATCGTGTTGCGTGCGAGTCCTCATTCTATACCGTCAATTAATATGTATTTTAAAATCCTATTCATACTCCCATCAAAGAGCGTATACAACCAAATTGTACAGTGTCCTATGGGGATCGTTTATGGCCGCATCACAAATTACATTATTGACGTGGCTTTGAGTCGAGGCTGGTGACAACGTTGTCCTCGTCTTTCCAAACCTCGAGTGACTCGTACAAGATGGGTTTATTGATAGTTGGAATGTGGTGACGTGTGACGAGCGTATCCGTGCTGGCAGACGCGCAGGTACTGCATGTCTAATAGAAATAGGACTGTGGAAATAACCACTTTATGCTTTTGGTCAACAGGTTTTTTTTTTCTCCAGTAATGAATTAAATAAAATACGACTCCACATACATACACAAATATTGTTTTTAGTTCATAGCCTATGTGTCAGGCAGCGCTTTCACCAACTCGTTAGCTGACCAGCGTGGTTTAAGTAAGGTCAGGACGTGGGGAGAGGATCTCATGCAGCAGTGGATTAACAAAGGGGATGCACTGTACTGTACACGCTATCCAGCAGCATTTAATTAGGTAATCTGTGGAGCTGCTCTGACCTTCTGGCTCTCATCCGTCGCAGGCTGTTTAAACAAACACTGCTGGGTTGCCACATGTTTTTTGGCAAACACTGTGTGAAAACTGAGACGTTCAATGCAGAAACTAATATGTAAAATAAGCTCCCCGTACAGTACGCTGCCGTGGAAAATTGTGGGTAACAATAGTGAGATTTACACAGGCTTAAACTTGCTCAATGAAGTGCCTTCATTTGCACTTATATACAGTATTGTCACCAAAACTCCTCCCCCTCTGGCATGAAACATTAAACCTCACATTCCCTGCTCAACACAATCCTCGTTAGATGCGCATATTCTCATATTTGTCAAATTGCCCCGTGAAGGCGTTCACTTATAGACTCTTAATCCATATTTTATTGTATTTCGTTTTTGGTCGGCGTGTGATACCTGTCGTCACATTGTTAAGGAAAATGGTTGTGAACAAAAATGTAGCAAAAACTGAAACGTGCACATTTAAAAGGCAGAAAGAAGAACACACCGATGAGGGAACATTTTAATGACAATTCAAACTGTTAGCAAAAGTAATTAAGCATCGTCAATAAATGTTGCTAGAAGAGATAATGGTCGATGGTCAAGGATAATGACGGAGTGGCAACCAAGGAACAATGGATCCGAGGAGTTGGAATGATGAAATTGGCTCGTGATGAATTATATTATAGAATCGTGAGTGATGGTGGCAGCTTAGGGAAGCCTTCATTCAACAGTGGATTGACGAAAGCCAATGATGTTCTGGATAATCTGAGAACTGGATCTTAAAGCAGAGCTTAAAGCCAGCCCTGGCCATGTCTTTCCTAACAGCAGTGTGATATGGATTTTTATTTTACAGCATGCACTGGGATTGAACTTATAATTGTCAACATCTTCTGGATGAAGGCATTTCGAAGCTATCGCAATCTTAATCCTGCTATTTAATCAACCTCGCACTGACACACGTTCTGATCTTATTACTCCATTGCCCCATTCGGCGTTCTCTCGGACAAGTTACACATCCCTTGACTGTCGCGCCATCGTTTTTATTGACCATCGGCCGTCATCTCTATTAGTGATGCATCCTGCACAAGCTACTTACTTTTATTAAGAATTATATCTTTAACCTTGGGTAAGTTCTCTAATCCTTGCTCCTTTTTGTCTCAATTTGATTCCAAGCACACATCTTCATGCTATATAGCACACTTTAGAGTTTGTGCATTTAGACGTTTTTATTCCGTTCTATTCATTAATATTCATGTTATGTGACAGCAGATAATATGTTTTGATTAAAACATTGTACTTTAGGCACATAGGTACGTTGTTTTCATCTTCAAGTTCAACTTTCAAAACGTACTTCAACCTGCACTTGTCCGTTTCTATATTTAACCATTTAGATTCTGGTCCACATTCAATAGCTGTCCTCTGTATATTCTGCTCCGTTTTCCAGTTGTATCTCACGGACAGATATTTCCAGTTATTTAACGCCGTTATCGTACATGACCTTTGTATTGTTTCTTACATATTTTATCCTTCGCCCAATTAAGCAGCTTTCTTCTTCAAGGTCGGATATCATTCCCAGTAGTTAATTCCTTCTGAATTGGATCTGCATAAAATTATTCTACTCGTTTTCAGGTTCCATCACTGTCATTAGTTACTATTCCATTTTTGGCCATAATTTCTACAAATTATCAGTTGCCAATCAACATCATTTTGACTGCTTTCATTCTCCCTTTGCTTGATATTACATCATCCGTCATTTCCTGACCTACGAAAATTAAGAAAACTATATGCATGTCCTTCACTGAATCCAAAATGCACGTATAACAATGTAAACTCGTGTATATTTCCTTGGTTAAAAGTAAGCCCAGCAATTGTTTGTTTTGTATTTTTAAGTCGAGCTACAGATGAATTGCACCTTACAAATGTAAAGTGTTATTTTAAGTGAACGTCTACAAGTTCCACTGAAATGTAGGTTGGCTACTTTTAAATTGCAGTTGTTTTATTGATGTGTCGTTCAATGTCTAAATAAAGCAGAACTTGTACATGATCATAAAGTATTCGTTAGGGCCAGCTAAAGTTGCTATGTGTTGTCATATTTAAAGGCCGGTTGCTATTGATTCACTTGGTATATTGCGTGACATTACTAAACACATAGCACACTGTGTTATGTAAACTAATGTAAAATGGGAACTGAGGTACATTCTACAGATGTAGCTGCAAAGGTTATTTTGCTTTGTGTCACTATTAAGTAAAATATACATTTACATGATATCTAGCTAATGATGGAAACTGCTGTATTTTGGGATTTTGCGTAATGGATTAGAAATGCCCTTTTCATTTCCTTGTGAGGTAATTCAAAGTTTATTGCATGAGACTAATTCGTTGTATGCACATGTGATTGTTTTTGTAGGAATGCAATTTCACGTGGAAGTTGCCACAGGCAGTGGAGAATAATTGTGACTCGATCATGGCTACAGCTTCTTGTGATGAAGTGCGACCAGAGGGCCAACTTGACATTTCAAGTGTTGTTGATGAGGAAAAGACAAATTTGCTTCAGCTCCCAGACCACACTGGAGGATCAATACCTAATGAGGCATTATGTCTGCCCAACGAATCGCAAGCCGTGGGTGTTGGTGCATTGGCAGAACATGTAAATGTTCAAAAAGAGGATTCAACAACAACAGAATTGCAGCCAGATGAGAGCCTCGGCGAAGGAAAACTTGCGGCAGTGCAATTGAACTCTGAACTTTGTACCAAATCGCGCCACGTAGCAGAAGAAGCTAAAGGTGAACAGAGCGAAGCAATTGTAAAGAGCAGTACTGACGCAAATGTGGTCGAGATGAATAGTGACTCTTCACATGCAGCAGCTTGCAATGCGACATTTTGGATTCAAAAGCTGACACAAACAGTCATGAAAATATCACTGCACAAGCATCCAGTTCAGACTCGGAGAAGCCAGCACCTGAGTCGTCGCCTGAATTGGTTCCTGCTGAAGAAGCATTGTTAACTGATATTGAGATGGAGCTCATAGAGCTTGAGTTACCTCCAACCATAAAAGTTCTTAATGGAATTAAAAAAGAAGCTAGCATCGCCGCTGCTTTGCGTGAGCTGGAAACTCTAAGACTGCGTTGTTCTCTGCAAGAGGAAACCATCAATAAGTAAGCAATTTGCACAGCACTGGATTGTACTTTGAATTCCTTATCTTTTGTTAAAACCCTTGGCCTTGCTTTTGTGAAGGTTGTTAATTGTCCACGGATTTGTAGGGAGATGTCAGTTCTTTTTTACAACAAAGAAGCCGTTATTAAGATTACTTTATGATTGTACAGTTACAGGATTGCATCATACGTTCTTAAACAAAACTTATTTTAATTTGGCTCCAGTGGATTTTATAAACGTAATTTTTATTTTAGAAATGCTGTTTTATGTGCAGTACATAATGTTTTTCAGATTAATTTGTATGCTTATTGTAAAAAAATGTTTTATCTATGTCTTTGTTGATGTTTAATATACGGGATTTTAAGCTGCCTAGCATTTAACAGCAAACTGCTGTAATATGCTGCAATGGATGTACAGGGTTTCATATTTCATCATAGATAGCCTTGTGACATGTTTCTGGTGATACACAGATTAAGGTATAAACCACATGTTAACTGTAAGGTTCAGTGTATCATTACAAGGCATGTAACATGTTCAATTTATTGCTTCTATACCAAGACTAGAACATTAATTTAAGCATCTGGCGACAGGTACTTTTCCACCTACATTCGGTACTTTTTAACTTTAATATATTTAACTGTGCAGGTTTGTGTTTACAATTCCACAATAAATGTTCTTTTACATTTTTGAAGCTCCCAAGTGCAGCGAACTTTCCCATAAGTGTGTAATGTTGTAAGGGTATAAACGGTATGCTTATGTATTCAAAGTGTACCAGCTTCATTGTGTGTGGCTGCTAATCTCATCCTTCCCAGGTTGGCAGTGGTTGATCAGAAGCATCAAAAAGAGCTTTGTGAGCTACAAGCAGAGAACAAGAACCAGAAAGAAGCTTTAGAGAAACACATTGCAACAGAGTTGCTCAATAACTCCACTATTAAACAGGTATTAGCATTTTTTTACAAAGTATCTGCAACCTTGCAGGTATCAATGAATTATACTACATTTCTATTTCTGCTGCCTTTTACAACTAAAGTATGGGATTGTTCATTATGACATGATTGAAATGTGCAGGTGTGCATTATATTTAATAATACGGACTGTGAAACTGCAGCTATCAATATTTATTCCAATGACATTACAATGTAATTTGTTCTAATTATTAAAATAAAAATTCTTTATTGGTATTGTTATTGATCTTAGAAGATGACCACCATGCACAGCAGGTTGTCGTTATATGCTGTGGGCTTAGATGGGGGACAGCAGAGGGCAATGCAGCAAACTCCATTTTGTACTCTATGCTTACATTTATGTGCTACCTGTGGTCACCAACCCACACTGATCAAGTGTGGTGAGATATAGTCACGCCGTCTGGGTTGTCACACCAATCGTATGGCATTGGGAGGCAAAAGCTGCTGTACAATCTACGCTGGTTATAGGTTTGCAATGCAAGAGACTAGGGCAATGCTCTTGTATTATATTTTTCAAATATATCTGGACGGTGGTATTCAGGTTAAGTATTGTCTCTTGTATTCTTTTTAGCTGGAAGAAAAGCTGCAGGGATACCAGCAGGAGGTGACTGCGAGCAAGGAGCGGCTCGCTGCACAAGAACAGGCATCCAGGAGCGCGATGGCCCAGATCCAGAAGGACTTGACCCTTCGCTTGGAGCAGGTGGGGCTGCATCTCAAGTGCCAAGCGTCTGTTTAGAGTGCAGCCTCTTGCACACAAATCACTCGGCCAGATCCTGTTTTCAGTAAAAACTTAGCATAGGGCTTAAGCTCATGCATGAAAGAGCCACGCGAATATATCATTTTAGCATGTGTTTCTGTACACATGTTGATATTAAACATGTTTATTATTTTTAAGCTTGGAGGAGATTTCATTTTGTGTAAATATTCTCATGAGTACAATTTGTTATAGTTGGGTCATGACACTGTGTGTGAAATATTTTGTCCACAACAGCCTTTTGTTTTTAGTAGTTTTATCAGCTGTGCTGTTATATCATCTAACCATTATTTTCTGTGTTTGAATTACATTTAAAAAAATTATATCCTGTAAATGTTGTTGTTGAGTTCATGGAGTTTACTCTGCATGCACCATTCACTATGCACTCAAAATTCACATTGGCAGTTTCACATGCATGCATTGCAACTCGTAATTTGTAATACTAAACACATTTAATTTTGCCTTCAATTGTATTGTGATTTACTTGATTTAAGTGAGTGTTTATAGAAAGGGACGGGGATGCGTTTTTTCCCATCGGTCAAAATTAACACTTACACTTGTTTTGCATTTGCTGTGCTATAAAGGCCAATAAGCGATGCGAGGAAGATCGTAAGGAGAAGAGGCCATGGTCATGAAGTACGTGCGTGGGGAGAAGGAAGCGCTGGACCTGCGCAAGGACAAGGAGGGACTGGAGAAGAAGCTGCGTGAAAGTATAAAGGAAATGGAGAAGTTCACGGCCAGGGTGAAGCTGCTGACCCAGGAGAAAGGGCGTCTGGGCACTCTCTATGAAGCCAGGGTAAGTGGGCATGAATAATCATTTGGTATGGCTCATCCGTTCACTGCAAGATGTTACTGGCAGACTCGTGCTCATTTGCAAACCGGTGCTGTATGCACCTGTTCTGCACGGGGAAAGTTGCCACTGAGAGTCCCTTGTTTCGACCTAATCAGGTTATTGAAAAGATTGAGATGAGATTACATGTTCGGTGCTTTTGAGTTGCATTGACATTAAGCATGTGCCCTATAAATACAAATCCTTAATTATTATCAGCGTGCTGTACCCATTTCATTTTTCTTTTGCCAAGTTTGCAGTTACATTCTAAGTAAAATGAATGGAATTAAATGTTTTAATGCGATGGTCATATCAGTTTTAGAGAATGCACCAATTCCTCGACCTATATGTTGAACTTCTTTCACACATTACGTAGCGAATCATGCTTATCAGGTGCAGGGTGGGGGGGCTTGCCTTCCAATTTCTAGATGTGTTGCATGGTTAGGTAGAGTGGATTAAAGGCTATATAAAGATACAAAACGATCATCACTAGTGCTATCGATCCAGGCCCTATGCTACCGCATGGGTATGAATGTTTTGTAATATAAATAGTTTAAACATGGTACGATTCGTATGCCTATTGATTGCATATATCATCTAATTTCAGGATGGAGATGTTCACAAACTGAACAAGGAAATCGAGAAACAAAAAGAAGAAATCAACTCTCGTGCCTCCAAAATAAAATGGGCCCAAAACAAGCTCAAAAGTGAGCTGGACTCTCACAAGGTAATCTCATCTTTAGTGTATTTTGTTTTATACCCTGTATGAGTGTATACATGTATACCTAGAGCCATTTGTCAGTCCACTGCTGGATAAGGGCCTTCCCTTGCCATTTGGGTCATGTGGGTTTGGCCGTAATTCACCATTCTGATCAGTGCTGGTTGGTGTAGGCGGGATAAATGTGGGAGCATGAAAGTACAGTACAATAATAGATTTGCTGCTTTGCCCTTTGCTGCACAAAATGTATCCTGCAGCATACAACACCTGTTTCGTTAAGTTGTTTGCACTTGCAAACGATATGCAGGCTCAACACTGCTTAGTCTCGGGGTGATTTGGTCAGTGTACAGTGTATCGGTAAAATTTATGGTTTACAAAATGTCCTCATGCGCTGCTATGTATTTGAAAGGGCATGTCTTTCTCATTTTACTCACTGAACACATTTTATTTATTTTTGTTGTGAGTGTGCAACGTCACGTTATATAGTCATTCATAGAATGTGACCTTCATATGAATACTGTACCTGTCTCAAATATTGTGATAGGTACTTTCTATAATTGTTTCGTCTAAACTCTTATTAATGTTATGCACCTGCATATGTGCATAGCGTGGTGCCACTAGTAATGTAGTGCGGCATACTCCAAAGATTGCAAACGCAGCACGTTTAAAACATTATCAATTATTCATAATTCAATTTGGATGGGGTACTGGTTTATGGATTGCTCGGATAAGAGGATTCAGATGCCATAAAATTAATAACGTATAATAAACAGCCCTTTATCATTACACTGCTGGATGAAGGCCTCCCCATTCCAAGTCGGTCTTCAAGGTTGTCTGATCATATTTCATCACAGTGGTGGAGGGAGGGGCTCTGACGGTTCGCCCTGGGCCAGGAATTAGATGTGCCAAGTGTTTGCATGCGTAATAATTTTAAATAGGACAATGATGACTGGGATTGCAGGTACAGTAACACTACTTGTCTAATTCGCTGTTATCCACACTTTGTTTTATCTGCACACCCTATGCAATCCGCATGTCTTTCTATTATCTGTGCACTATATTCTTCCTATTATTCAAGCAACCGTGTGGATAAAAAATATTGTATCTGTGTCAGAAAATAATTCCTTTTTATCCAGACCATTGTGCAGATAAGAACATTACCCGAATACAATGGCAAATCCTTCCTATTATTCGCGACTAATCCGCAACTCAGGAATATTAATGGATGATAATGATATTGATTATAATGACGACGATTCTGATAGTTATGGTGGTTATGGTGAATGTTATGATTATTTTACTGCTGGTAAATTAATGGATATACATTTCCTGGAAGTCATTGCCACTGGACACTAGCACACATTGCACAGATTAGAGAACGTTTGTACCAAAGTAATCTTATTATTTCCCTTTCCGCAGACTTGACCAGACACAAAATTATTCCGAAATGGACTTTTGGAAGCATTGTATTTCTTCTTATCCAAGCTTTTGCTCAGATAAGAGGAGTTATCTGGAAGTGGCAGGAAATTCATCCCATTACTAAATTTCTTCATGGAAAAATGTGATCCATGCCTATAAATGCCTACATTAAGCTTATGACTATTCCACTGTAATGTATTTGTAATTGTTTGGACTGTTTAATTTATATTGCACGACTGAATATTGTTGTTTGTGGTTCTTTTTTTAAGGAAACCAAAGAGAAGCTACGGGAAACAACTGCCAAACTCTCAGAAGCAAGAGAAGAGACTGAACAAATCCGAATGAACTGTCAGGAGATGATCAAGACCTATCAGGTAATGACATTTAAAGGCTTAAAACTACATTGCATTTCTTTTTCACCACATGCTTTAAATGTAAAGAATGATGTCTTGAACTTTAGCATAGCTATGGGGAAAAAAGCCATATTTATTTGTTGCTCATGCTTCACAGAATATTTGCTTGTGCATGTATTCTCACGATTGGCTTAGTTATTGTTCGTAAAAGTCAATTTTGCTGGGTGCAGCCAAAGAGCTTGTTTAACCTTTACTCGCACATACTTAAATTCCAAAAGTAGTTGTATGTTTTGTTTTATTTAAATGTTAGAGAATGGCTAGAATTCAATGGTGCATTAAAAATCATGCCTTGATAATCTTTTGAACTTTCTTCTTCTGCCACTAGATGGCAGACGGCATACACATTTCACAACGGCTGTATACTTTGGAACAAATATTGATAGGTTTTTCAACTTATCTACCACTGCATTGTTATTGTGATTATTCCAGTAGTACTACATATACGTCTTATCTTACAGGAGAGTCTGGTGGCACAACAGTGCCACCAGACTCCCCTCCCATACACTAACCAAGACAACATGCACAACACTCAGTCACCCACTCAAACAAACAACACTCTATAAAACACTAATCCAGACTCGTGAGATAAATTGCATTGTATTGTAAATATGGAATATGACAGAGGAAAAGCTTAAGCAGCTGTCACTTCACTCCCTGCTAACCATGAACTGTAGTATAATGGTTGACAAAATATATTTATAGCACTTAATGGGGTTTGCTGTGAAATATATTTTTAAATAAATGATACTGCTTGTACATGTTGAGCCTTTTGTCTATCAACTGGATGACAGCCTCCCCCATGCTGTGCAGGTCATGGGGGTTATTTGACCACAGTTTGCCATGGTGGTCAGTGCAGGATGGTAAAGGCAGGAAGCATAGACTTGGGAGCGTAATATATAGCACGACGTTGAATTTTGCTGCACTGCTCTCTGCTGACAACGTAGCTCCATATCCTCCAACACATTTTTTTGCATGGTGATCACCAGTCCAAGCACTATGCAGGCTCAATTCTACTTAGATATTGAGATGATGAAATCTGGTTTATTCAGTGGCAATTTCTAGGCTTGGATTGATGCTTTTGCAGAAGATATAAAGATAAAACGCAATAGTAGCAGCCTACTGAATTGGCCTTTGAGAACCTTTGCAGTTAAGCCATTTAGTCAATAATACAATGTGAGCTTCACTCAATTGTTACCATGCAATTTCTCTTGATTGACATATATTTTATATTTTGGCCCCTGAAGATTCTCTTCAAGCTGCACAGATAATACAGTTTCTCTTTAAACACAATAAATACAATCTAACATTTTCTTCTATAAGACATTATATTATCGAGGTATAAATTGTGATGACTTTGCATCGTTGAAATTTACTTTTTTGCATTTAGGAATGTTGGTTCCTTAAGCTTTTTACATTATCTTTCACTGACGTGCTTTTAGAACTTTTTTTTTTATAAACGACATCAAGCATACCCACCCTGAGTATTTGTCCATGGCTCACTTTGGCAGGAGTCGGAGGAGATCAAGTCCAACGAGCTGGACGTGCGTCTGCGTGTGACGGAGGGCGAGCTGCGGAAAAGGAGAGAGGAGCAGAACGACTACATGGAGGTGTGTGAACCTGTCCTTCCTCTACCACTGAACCGAACAATTTAACCCATTCCGATGACGTAACGAGGCCCCCACAAAGCCAATGTGAAAGGGTGTGTGGCACAGTTTGGTGCCAGCTATCATAAGAGTGCGGTCGTGTCTCTACAGTTCTTGGTGGCGAGTCCAATGTTTTTAAAAACAAGGGTGCTTTTCCTCTCTAAATTAACGCTAGACGCCTTCGCTTTCTGAGATTTGCTGGTGAACGGGACCCACCCTGCAACTTGCAGACATCCCGCAGCGCGAAACGGTTAACTCGGCATGATCTATGGACAATTTTCTGGGTTGTGGATTAACAAATCTTGAGGCAAAAACTTAAATATATTTGTGCGCTCTTCTCACTCGTTGACAGTCAGTGAGGCACACACACGTGACGTCAAACACATGGCAGGTAAACCTGTTTAAGAAACAATAAAAATAGATGACAAGTTTCCGTCTTCACGCCCATTCTACACAGGGAAGCAATTGCATATGTATTTGTCGCTTAGTTGCATATGTTTTGCATTATTTGTGTTTTTTATTTGCCCAAACCACTGGACCCCCCCCCCCCATTACACGGAATAATCGAGAGTCGACTGTATTCTAGTCCAAGGGGACATTTAACCCTTTCCACCCACCCTTTTTAGTTTCCCAACTGCCCATTTGTAATACAATACCTAGGTGGGGGGGGGAGTTTAAGAACTACAGTGGCTGTGATCATTTGCATTGGTGAGTTATTGGTTCACATTCCTTCCACATTTCTTGTAGCACATGGTTGCATAATCTATTGGAGTAAAAACATACCCTGAACTCTTAAGGTGTTTCCCATTTTGGGTGACGATAAATTAGATGCTATACACTTTGCACGAACCATATAAATTGGTGTTCGCATTCCTTAAGCACAGTTGAAAGTTGAAATATCCGTCTTATTAGCTCTCCTTTGGAAATTAGAGTTTAAAATAATTGTTTTTATCAATAATTATCGTTGACTGACATTTCTGCATGTGTTCACTCCTGTGAAAATTCAGATCCATGGGGCTAAGATCAAGGAGCTTGAGCACCTCAAAAGGAACTTTAAAGAAGGCATGGATGAGCTGCGAACCCTGAGGACAAAGGTGGGAATATCGGCGTCTTTTGTGGCTTCTTTTGGGTGTCGCTTGGCTTAACATTTGGGCTGTGCGGATCAGACAAAAAATATTGTAGAGAAGCCAATGAGTGGGGCATGGTGAGTTGTTAGGGTGGGGAAATTGTGGAGTCTTATTATAGTGTCATTGCCCACTTTTGACTTGCATCACTGACTCTGTGACTTCGGAAGGAACCGTTGGGGGCTACACCTCAACCCCATCGCCCTATTTGGTGTTTTTTGGCTTTTCTTGTTAAGGGAATTTTGCAGTGACACCTGTTGATGAGAAACATTTTAATACAGCTGTAAGTTTTATATTTATAGACTGAATTTGATTTTCAGAGAACATGACTGCAATTAATTTGTGCTTAGTTATCAATGCCACAGCCAAGACATTCAAGTACACTGTTACCAAAGCATATGATACTTGTTACAAAATGTATCATGGCTCATGCACCTGTAAGCCCTTTATAGTTGCACATTTGCTTATTTCAGGCATCATGTGCAATGATGAAATATTTTAACTCAGACTTATAAATGTGTAAGAAATCTTCTTAAAATACTGCAGAATATTTTCGTACAAGGTGTTAAGTATTGTATAATAAAGGACTAACATATGGAAATTCTTGTTGGCAGCAAATGAAGATTAAATGTTGATATATATGAAAGGAATCAAGTCGGGTATGGTACTCTATTGATTATAAATGGCCTCCATCTTATATTAGTATTGATTTATGTGTGAAAAGAGTACTCAAGTTCACTGTCTCTTACACATGGAAACATTCTCTCAAATATATCTTTATTTGCTTTGGTTGAATAATATAAAGCGAGTCCTTTATAGCCAAAGGTAAAGGCTACATGTTGTAATTCGAAACAGCTTGCCATATCACGACTAAGAGTAATGACCCGTGGAAGGCCAGGAAATATATCGGCAGTGTAACCCAAAAACTAGGTCATCATCAGTGTTTCACGCTTTCTTGGGCAAATGGGCTTGGAGTTGCTGATCTGTAAATGGCAGTGATGGGAGTAGGGAAGCAGGAAAGATATTAAATCAGCTGTGCTGGGTGCAATGGTCATGGTACAGTACTTGATTGAGCACATTGTTCGTAGCGACACAAGTTTGTATTGCTGCTGTTCTTTAGTTTGAAAAGATATCGCATTTGGGTTCCTTTGACAACTTTTACAATTCATTGTTCAAATATGATTGGCTTCAATATTGCACATTCTATTGTACTGAATTTTATCGCAGCTGTAAATTGATGCTGTCGTATATAGATATATTTGGCTCCTAACAATAGTGATGATTCTAATAACGTGATAAAAACATGTATAATGCGTATTAATTTTGTTAAAATTCTGTTTCCCAGTACATTTCATTGTTGTGTTTTTATTTGAAATTCTCATTATATTATAGAAACAAACGTCTTTTCAGTCAGTTCCATGCAGCAGTAAAAAAAATTGGCTCTGCTGTGTAGAATTGGAACATGTTTGTTTTAAAAGTAAAATACGAAATTAATGAGTTGTTTACCAGCATAGTTAAGTTTTGATAGTTAATATTTTTGAATGTAAATAACTCTTCCTGGTTACTTATTCACCCAATTTATCTTCATTGGTTTACTTTAAAAGTAGAGAATAAATACAGCCTAGAGGTAGAGCTTGTGAAGGTTATCCTAAAATTATTGGCTTCATCAAAATGGATTGGGCATTAAAACATTGCTCTGATCTTTATTGATTAAGAATTGCACCTCCAAATGTAACTGATCATTCAGTGAAATACATTTTTTTTACCTTATGGCCTTTGGTAGTGCTTTAGAAAGATAATAACTCCTGAAATTATTTCATCTGTAGTTTGTATAAAATCTAAAGAATGCTGATTATATTTAAACGGTTAGCAGAATAAAATTGCCGCTGACCCTGTGTTTGAATCTGGGTAGCCACCCTTGATTCCAGCCCAATTCTTGATTATGGTAAGTTGATGGTCTCACTGACTGCTGTGAATATTTTTATTTTTTTATTTTGTGTTTCACTTACCTTTTCAAAATGTTACCTCTGAGAATGTAAATTGTCTGTTTGACTGCCATGTGGAAAAACATTTGTCTGTGCAAGACGTGTGGAAAATTACAGTGCCATCTCTTGCGGATTAAAGATGTCACTTGAAGAGCGCTTAGAAGTAGTTTTATGACGTTTCCTACTGCAGGCTGTTTTACAATATGGAGTGCTGCACTATTCTGAAGAGTGCTAAATGGATAATTCATCTCAATACATGAAACCAGTAGCACATTTGGAATACTATTGGTATACATTTTTTTATTGTGAGCACTAAATGCACAGGGCCTAATGTCAACCGGTCCTGTCTGGGTTGGAAAGCCGAAAAATATTTTCTGCACACCACACTCGGTTTATCTCTTTCTGTGGCCATAGCTACTGGTCATGTGCATACATACCCAATCCAGTCTACCAGTGACCCCAAAAATATTTTGTGAGAAATCAAGCCCTGCCACTGCTTCATTGCACACGACTGTGCTGTGCGCTGTACAGGTGAAGTGTCTTGAGGAGGAGAGGATACGCACCGAGGAGGAGTTGGCCAAGTACCGGGAGATCATCAACCGGCAGAAGGCAGAGATCCAGGAGCTGCAGGAGGGTGTGCGCGCAGCTGACCGCCTCCAAGAGCAGATAGACAGGTATAGGTGGTGTTCTCATGTGATAATTGACTTACTGGCACGCACATGCACAAGGGCTGCTTAGCTTGGGTCCATCTCATGAAGACATTAATGCTCGATTATCCTTTAGTACACTTCAATCGAAATGGCCTTGATTAAGCAGTACGAGTGGACCGCTTCAGGTATAGGGTTTGCAAAATATTGCATTTGGCTATATAGTAAAACCTTGGATTGCGAGCATAATTCGGTCCGGAAACGTGTTTGTAATCCAAAGCACTCGTATATCAGTTGTGATCACGTGACGCTCGGCAGACAAAGCTTACACGTACTACTCGTATTGCAAGACCTCGCTCGTTTATCAAATTAATATTTATTTAAAAAATTGCTCGTCTTGCAAAACACTCGCAGACCAAGTTAGTCGCAATCCAAGGTTTGCTGTATATCATTACGTTATGGTTATAAACTTTGCATTATGGTTGAAGGTTTTTTTTTGCATTGCAAAGAATAATAATTTATTATCTATTTTTCATAATCCTATACTTTCAGTAATTCACAATGTCTTGTGCAATTCCAATTAATCTCAAAAAATTTAGTTGTCAGATAAAGTGACCAATTAATGATCCGTTTTCAAAAGTGTACAACTCAACAAATATTTTAAAAAATATTGATACAGAATACCATGATTTGTATTCCATCATAGTTGACTGCATGTCTTTTTTAGAGTTGTAAATGTGTACCAGAAAATGTCATAAAAATTCTGCCCCATTGCAACATGAGCAATTGCTCGTATTGCAGAACGCGATCGGTTTATTTAGCTGAGGAATGGATTACTTTGAGGGCTTTGTTGACTTAACACCTGAGCTTTCGGGCAACAGATGTGAAGTGTGTCTTATTGCACCTTGTGTAATCCCATCTGGGTGGCTCGTACGATCATCCATGCTTACGGCAATACTTGGGAGTAAATATAAAACCTGCTTCAAATGTTGTGATAGCCAGCATTCTGAGATACATCGTCACTCTTTGTTGGGTTACTTTAACAAAGGAAAGGTTCACTATTACTGGGCCGTTTGGGAACATTTATATAAATGACCATATTAAGGATAATTTTGCGGACTTATTTTTTTAAATGCGCTTTTTTATCAATACTGTAGATATGAAGCAATTATTGACTTTCAATACATCAGTGTAGGAGCACATAATATACTGTAATAATGCATACATTTTGACTTCAAGAGGAAAAAAAGTTTTTTTTAATACATTTTTGTTAACTCTTTAGAGCTTGACAAATCCTCCAAAAAAACGCTATATTGTTAATTAATCAGAATGACACCAATTACATCGATTTCTCATTGGCTGTAATATAAGTGGAAGATCTAAGGTGTAATAAACCCATTTCTCGTCATTTATAAGTGCCTTCATTGAGATAGTTAGACTGTCTAATGATTCATTATATAATTGCTCATTAGAGGCTTATTCACAGAGAAGGATAATTCAGAGTAGTTAGTCCATTTCAAAACATTTCTCTTAATTCGTTTTCCTAATTATTGGGATGTAAAGTTTTGTTTTTACCATTTCCATAAATCAGGCAGCAGAGAACACACATGTGGCTTTCATTAAATGGAGTTTATGCTTTATAGGCCGATTTAAGCAAGAGCAGGAATCGTTGCACTGAGTAAGATATTTTGGCCATTTGAAATACATAAAATATCTATGAAACATATTCAACTGGAGCTAAATAAGCAGTGTGTCCAAGTTTTATAATGTTATTGCAGATTATAATATGTGTATATATTTTTGTTCAAGAAATTTAGATTGTTTGTGGTAAATATTTCATAGGGAGGGAACCTACATTATATACATGCTTCTGCTGTACAGTGCATTGTATTAAGTGGTAAGGTAGATTTAATTGACCTGTATACATGAATTAAATACGTATTTCTTGCTTCAATAAGATTCTGGAAAGTTTGGCTGTATCGGTTGAATATTCAAACCATTGTGCCTGTCCTCACTTCTTATATCGTTTGTGTGGAATATTGACCTCTTTTGAAAGCACATAAAAATCCCCTCCGCTTGCATACATGGCTTCCAAAGATCAGCTGGCAGTCCAGCCAGAATGCTTATTTAAATGTAAAATTACTGCTTAAAGGATTGTAAACTTTCCAATTGTGGAAACAATATGAATAATCCTCAATTTATTCAAGTGGGATTAAAGGCTGTCACAGTACCTGACTTGGCATGCAGGTTGGGATTTTGCCTCATCGCTTACGAACCTTCCCTTAATAAAAGCCATGCTTATGCACCCAAGTAACCCGGTTCTGGCTCGATGCCTGGCTTAATATAGTCAAGGCTCCTTTATATTCATGACTGTTATTAAGCATACAATAATTGTATGAAGAGCCTTGTTTTCTAAGCTAATACCATTCTCATTATCCTGCACTCAGTGGAGACAAGATTTTGGATGCATTTATTGTATTAAATGTATTCCTTGTGTGCTATATTCCATTGACTTTGCTATGTAATTTGTCTTTTGCACTTTGGGATATTACATGTGATTTCACTTGAAATTCCTTGTGATAAATACTGCTTGTATTAATTTTGGTGCTGCTTTGCTTGAGAAATAAGACTTAATACTGTCACATTCATGGTATGTGTTAATGTCAGCTTTAGGCTTTCTCGTATTTTTATAAGTTTTTTATAAATACCCAAAGATGGAATTTTTGCAGTGATTTCGATTTTTATACACTTTGTAGTGTCATGTTAGTTTAATCTTTTTTATACTTTTACATTTTAATACCAGCCAACAAAATTTACATTTTCTGATTATATAGGTCTCCAGCTTGCTCTGTTCATGATACAATCTGATTTTTGGACATTGTCTTGGTAAATTAATGTTAAACATAAATTTGTAACCAATTACTATAAATTAATTTCCAACATGAATTGGTTAACCCGTTCTGTAGTTTTTTCAATGCTGAGTTGATGAACACCTATATATTGTTTAAATAACAGTGCTGGTGGGGGAGGAAGGGGTGTTTTATCAGTGTTCATCAGTTAATCCCAAAATCCTGGAGCCCTATGTACATGCGATACATATCACATCATTCAGTATCGTTCTGTAGTTTAATAAAGCGTGACATTGTTTTATTCTCAAAGCTTTATTATTCAAGCGTTTCCAAAAGACCCCTTCGTTGAACAGTCACGTTCTTAAGCCCAGAAATCCACACTGTGTCGACAACAGCAGCGCTTATAACAATGAAACCGGCATTCCTGGCATTTTCTTGGCGTTGCAGCGATGAACAGGAGCAGGCAGTTCTTCGCGAGGAGTTGGCGGGCCTGAACTGCCTTGTGGCCGACCTGCGGGTGGACATCGCCGGTAGCCGTGAGCGCGAGGCCGAGCTGCTGGCCTTTGCCGAGCGACTCGCCAGCAAAAACGCACAGCTACAGTCCGACAGCAACGGCCTGCAGGCAAGTGTGGATCGACTGGAGGCCTGCGAGCGCAAGCTGATGCAGGAACTACAAACGCAGGGCCAGGCCAAGGAAGCACTGGTGGGTGAAAAGTACAATGCAAAGTGAATGTTGGGATCTCAAATAAAATAAAGTTTACATTGAGGTGTTGGGTGAATTGTTGCATCCTGCCACCATGAAGCACAGCAGCGACTTGGGGAGGCCTCTATCCTCATGGCTGCTGATGATTATCATGGCTCTCGACTCTCAATTATCTGGGAAAATGGGCATGGGTGCCCAGTAAAATACAAACAACGCAAAGCGTATGTGAATCGAGCTATAAAAACATTTATTGTTTACTTGCGTAGAATGGGGGTGAAGATGGCTATTTGCATTGCTGTTTGTGGCAAACTTTTTATTTTTTACATTTTATGGTCATGTGGGCTGTGAAAATATATTTTATTTATTTTTTGCCAGCACAATTAATCTGCAACCTGTGTAATTTGCCTATGGATAATCAAAAGTTAACTGGATATATACAGTGTTCTTTGCATTGGATCAGTGTACAACTAATTGCAGAAAACTATATTTTTTATAAAATAAATTTAAAAGGTATGCATTGTATATTTAATTAAATTCCACGTCGGTGTCTTTTGAAAGAGGGTTTATTAATATTTGAGTTGAGTTCTTTCCATGAAATTGGTTTGTGGCAGATTTGACAGTAATGACATGGCTGCAATATATAATTCAGCCAATTCACTGAATATAATCAGAGCAGGTTGCTCATTTGTGAGAATGATGTACACTTAACAGCAATTGTTGAATTTTATGCTTGTAGCCTAAATGTAAAAGGAAACTTTAAAACTGTGGACAATGTTTCATTCGTAATTGTTATGTCTAAAACATCAATCATTATTTCCCAATTTTAAATTTTATTCTAAAAAATGAATATAAAGTTAAAACATTCAAAGCTTATGGTTTTGTCAGAGTTTGTATGCCACAAATCGCACATGTTAATATAAATCTAATTTGGGTAAATGAACAAAAAACAAAGGGGAAGAACCTTGACACACTCATTATCGTTAATGAATGATGACCATAGTGGGTAGAGCAGTGGCACAATGGAAAGCATACTGCTCGATTTAACTTGACCTTGGTACGATCACCTGCCATGACTAACATCAGCGGTGATATCTGAAGCTCTCGCCCCCTTCCCTTCACCAACCAGTACTGACCAGCATGGTGCAGTATGGACAAACAACCCCTTATGACCGATATGTCATGGGGGGGGAGGCCTTTGTCCAGCAGTGGATTGACAAACGGATGATAATACGCAAGTGGTGTTGTCGGCTTCTAGGCTGAAGAGTTGGGGGTGGTGAAGAAGCAGCTGGAGGAGGAACAGCGCCGCCTGGGTGCAGAGCTCACAGAGGCGACCCGTCAGCTAGCACTGCTCCGTACACAGGCGGATGAGTTGAGGGATGAGCTGGCCACCCAGAAGCGAAAGCACGCTGCCAACACCAAGGATATGAGCAAGCAGCTGATGCATGGTGAGGGAGCCCAGATGCTTCCAACTCGCAATGATGAGCAAAATACCTTCCAATTACTGCCGTATAGTAATGTTTATACACGTTACCAATTATCCACGTCAACTCTCATTTAGATACAAATTACTGATTACGTTGTGTGTAATTTGGATACAAACTACAAATGTAAAAAATGGCATACATTACGTGTCATTTACATACTGGTCGTTACTACCAATAACTAAAACCATGAAAGCATTACTTTAATTTCTTTATTTTCCCACCATTTGTCATTTGGTATGTTATTCATTTTCCTGAATGTACATAACAACTTTGGTGGTTTCTTAAAGATTTTAAGGCAACTGATAGGATCTTTAACACGTAGGCATTCATGACTAGTATTATTCATAATAAAGGTTTTTGGGTTAGATCACATTATTTCTAAATGTGTCGCAACCCTCCACCACCCCCATGGCTAATCAGTAAAATATGTGTCACGTTGACAAAAGACAAATAGTTTACTACTTTAGCCCACCGGTGTGTTGAAGAGTGGATCCACAACATTTACAATTTGAGTAACCTGACGATTCGTTGGACATTACATCCAGCATCTTCGAACGATTTGCCAGAATAGTGAAACCATCCACCTGCTTCCGGTCTTAAATAGTGCGGGATGACGTCATTGTTGAACCCCATCACGTTTCTAGATCAAGGCGGAGATGGGGGTGTATGCAATTATGTAATAGATCGGTAATCAGCCACTTATCATGTGACTCACCTGTAAAAAAATGCAAAATATGTTGTCTATTACTTAATAATACGCTTCCAGGCTTCGCTAAGTATAGCTATCACAGCGATTGAAATTATTTGAATTCTTCTCAACTTCAATTGATTTTCAACTAATCCTGGCCAGTAATAAATAGTTCTGCATAACACTTCAACGTTATCAAAATCAATTGAATGTCCTTGTTAGCAAGCATGCTTTGCCACTGCTGACAGCTCTGTTTGGGAGAATTTAATGTTTCTTTGATGTTCTTTTAGTCTTGCGCTAATGTTACGTCCCGTCTGTCCAATATAACACTTGCCGCATAAGCAATTGATCCGATATACACCTTCTGTTCATAACTTCGGTGATTCATCTTTAGTACAAGACACTAGTTTTTGAATTATTAAGTAAGATACACAACACATTGCAATTCCTTACAGGTGAGTCACATGCTAAGTGGCTGATTACTGATCTATTACATAATTGCATACACCTCCACCTCTGATCTCGAATCCTGAAGGGGTTCAACAATGATGACGTCATCCTGCACTATTTAAGACAAGAGCAGGTCGATGGCTTCACTATTCCGGCAAATCGCCCGAAGATGCTGGATGTATATTCCAGCGAAACATACTACTCAAATTGTAAATGTTGTGGATCCACTCTTCAACACACCCTGGTGGGCTAAAGTAGTCAACTATTTGTCTTTTGTCAACGTGACACATTTTTTTCTGATTGGCCGTGTCTGGTGGTGGAGGGTTGCGACACATTTATAAATAACGAGATCTGACCCAAAAACCTCTTATGATCGGATCTTGGTTTGTGCATATATGGCCCTCAGTATAATTATTTTTTCCTCTGTCCGATTGAATCCATTATACTACAGTAGGTGAAGAGACCTTCATGCATGGTTTGTAATGCATGATTTTGTCTATGCATTATAACATGACGAGAGCGTGATTGATATTGTCCATTGTGAAACAAAGGTTCTATTAATTAAAGTTCATGGTCTGTTTGAGTAAGTTACGAAGCAAATAAAACCTCTTATTACGGCTTGTTGAAAGCTTTAATGTAACTGGAACAAATTCTTATTTTTCCTACCTTGGCATTGATGACATGGGATATGACATTGAAATATGATAAAGCATGTTCGGGCATCTTTATATATTTCAGCTGTAAAACTGCAATAATAACAAAGGTAAATAATTGTTTACAATAAGCTTTGAACTTTAAAGAGATCATGCTGCAATTTTTTTTTACTGAAATATAAACTTGCAGACAGTTTTCTTAACGGAAGCACAGCGCAATAACAAAAATTACTTGGTCTTTAATTTACGCATGCTGTGTTTTCAGCTCGTAGAAAACTGGAGCAGCTCGAAACTACTCAAGAAGGCAGGGAATCTGGAGGCATGGGAAGCCGCTCTAGCTCGTCTGGTGAGTTATATCACTCGGTTGTGAATGTGTGTGTCCCTCAAGTTCCCAACCGGGACATGCATGGCTGTAGAGTTTGTGTTACAACATGACTTACTGAATTAGTTTAACAAGGTTATGTTGTGATTTCCTTGTACCATATCACCCAGAATGTGCCCGATCTCGGAAGCTAAGCAGGACTTTTGAGCCCTGGACTGGACAGTGCTGTTATGGGCTACCACCATGTATAAAACAGGTGTTGCAGGCTTTGTGACTATGCTGTGGACAGCATTGGGCAGTGAAGAAACATCCATTCGTACTGGTATTATGCTCGACCATTTATGTTACCAGCCTTAACCAACCTGCACTCAGCAGTGTGGTGAAGTATGGTAAAACAACCCCACAATCCATGCATCACAGTTAGCGACTGCTGGATCTTTGCAAGGATCTCTTTATTTCGTTGGCATGATGTTAACTCCCATGCCGGATATGCAGGAGGTCCGGGGTTCGATCCCGACCCTGATACCTGTATATTTGGAGTTTGCATGTCTACCTACCCGTGGTCATGTGGATTTTTCTCCACGTCCTCTGGTTTTTCCCTCAACATTTTGAATCGGCATGCATTTATAGTATTTGGCTGCTATAAATTTCACATTGTAAGCTACTAGAATTTGTGGCCATGTCGCTTCTCAAAAAGAGCTATATAGCTCCGTGGGACTTACCTGGTAAAAATAAAAATAATTTAGTTTCAGTTTATCTCCCTCATCTCGTCTCCCCGTCAGGCTCGCTGAACGTGCGCGCAGGTGGCAGTCGCGACGAGGGCTTTTCGGAGGCGGCGGGCTCCAGCCCCGGCACAGCCGACAGCTTTCCAGAGGTGGACAAGAGCGTGCTCATAGAGCGCATCGTACGCCTGCAGAAGACTTTAGCCAAGAAGAACGAGAAAGTGGAATTCCTGGAAGATCACAATCAACAACTCCTCGAAGAGCTGCGCAGGAAGACCAAGTGAGTGGCTTGATTTCGGTGCAAAAATGTAACTAATCGAAGCCAATTGTGATGTTTAAAGATGGAGGTTTGTGTGGACGTTGTATTTCATAAGTGTCCACCTTGATAATTGTTTTTTTACCCTTTTATCTGGCAACAAAACTGACAACTTTTTTACAAGGAGTCATGTTTGCATTGACCACAATACCTGCGGTCGGAATGCAAACAAAAAACAACTCTGATCATGTATGCACTGTCCTTGAAATTGATTGGTCCACACCCGAGACAGCTTTTCTTAGAGCCTCGTCTCACATGGTGTTGGACCAGATGACGCCAAAGGGCGTCACCGTGTGAGACTAGGCTCTAAGAAAGCTGTCTTGGGTGTGGACCAATACATTTCAAGGACAGTGCATACATTATCAGAGTTGTGTTTTTGTTTGCATTCCGACCGCAGGTATTGTGGTTAATGCAAACATGACTCCTTGTAAAAAAAAGGTGTCAGTTTTGTTGCCAGATAAAAGGGTAAAAAAACAATTATCATATTTTGCTACTGGCAAAGGAGGTTCCAATGGTGTCCACCTTGAGTTTAATCTGTTTGGTTTTATCGTTTCCAAGCATTTGTGAGTCGCAAGTAAAAACATTGCATTTAACATGTGATGTGCTATGCTCCCTGCCTTTATCAAACCGCACTCACCAGCATGGTGAAATATAGTTACCAGTGTGGTGAAGTGATATAAACTAATTTCATGTATTTCTTTACATTAACCAGATTACAAATTTGTTGGATATTTAGATAATTTTCCGTAATTTGCCTTAAAAATGTAAAAAACTATACTTTTTATAAATGCCCTGATCATTCTAATAACTTTCACTTCCTTTGAAATGTCAGTTTTATTACTTTGGAATAAATGCAGCGTTCACAAGGCTAGTTTGAAGTAATAGTTTAAAATATCTTTTGAAAGTAAATTCGATTTCCAGCACCTGAATTTATTTTCAAAATCTTTCATTGTTGAAAATGTGTCTGTAGTCAATGGAGATTGTGTTTTTTAATCTTTAACAGTAGATTATTACTAATTTTAATAGTGTATGTAAAGTATGATTATTTGGGCTCACAATATAAGGACGAAATGCTATTAAATTTCTCCCTGCCTATATTATTCAAAGAACAAACACATTGCGATACATTTTGCTTGACCTTTCAGTCGATTACAAGCATTTTATGCGAGCCAACCACCAAACTTTCCATATCAAGGTTACTTGAAATATAATCACTTTGTTCGATTAGCTCCATTCCATTATTAGAGGTGTGTGTGTGTGTGTGCTCAGCACACGGTTGATGTTGTTCTCCGTTTCAGGATCATACACAGTTACATAATGCGCGAGGAGTCGGGGGCCCTGTCCTCTGAAGCTTCGGACATGAGCAAAGCACAGCTTTCGCGCAAGGGAGGCATCATGCGTCAGTGTTTTCGTCGCAGCCGGCCGACAGCACCATGACACTGGAGCTGTCTCTGCAGATCAACCACAAGCTGCAAGCAGTGCTCGAGGACACAGTCCTCAAGAACATCACCCTCAAGGTATCTGGCATAGACATCCTCAAGCCCATGGCCTTTATTAAAAAAAAAAATCGGTTCCCTTGCATAGTGAAGGTTTTTTGCAGCATTTTGAACCTGTGACTTACAAAGTGAAGAGTGTGTTATTTGAGAGCTATTTTGGGATCTATATTTGAGCTTTTATCGGGTAACATGAAACACATTTCATCAGAAGCATTCTCCCATGCAGGTCACGGTACTATTTTAAAATATGCTTCAAGAGGCGGGAGCAGTAGTGCAATCATGGTATAGTAATTTGTGCCCTGCACCATGATCCCAGCTAATAGGCTGAGTTGTTTTCCTGACTACGGCTAACATCAGAGACTAGTGATGTCTAAACTAGTCCTGGGCCCCTCCCCACCTGCTGCCCCATACCCATGCACTATTACAATCAGTGTGGTGAAGTATGGTCAAACAGACCCCAATGACTGGCAGGACATGGAGAGACATCCAAAAGTGGATTGACAAGAGATCCAAATTATTTTCATTATTTCATCTAACCTATATAATTCATTTTTTGTCTGTCTGTGTGTGTGTGGACACAACTTGCGACGGTTTTAACTCACAAACCATGGGGTTTATGTTTCAAAAAAGTACCCAGATACCACGCGACAAGCCCCGTGGTGAGCCTGCACTATTCGTATTTCACATCCGTCAACTTTAAAGTAGTTAAATTAACAATTTAGTTCTATTTATTATATAACTACGTTGAGCACGCACCAAAGCACGCATCTGCACATGCGCGATAAAGCTGACCGGTGGTTGCCCTAGCAATGCACACACGCAATCAGTGGGGGGGAGGGGGGGAATTCTTATTCGCGTTAGAAATGATCAAATAATTCATATCCTCTTCCCCCCCCACCCCAATGTGTGCAGTTACTTCTATAAAGTTGGTAGATGCTACTACTATAGTCCGTAGATAACTACTGTAGAGCGGGCGGGGGGATGGTAGGGGGAGGTAGCGGCCTTGTCCCAGCCTGCCAAGGTACCACCTCGGCCGGCTGGGCAATCGAGGCGAGGCCGGGGGCTCTGCACGGGACTAGGCCTCACCACTACACTTTGTGAAGTTAGTACTGTTATAGAGTCGATTATATACTATTCTAGAGTGGGTGTATATGACTATAGAGTAGGTAGATACTACTGTAGAGTTTCTAGTTACTGCTACTGTAGAGCAGGTGGTGGGGGGGGGCGGTATAGCAGCCCAGCCCCAGCCTGCCAAGGTGCCACCTCGGTCGGCTGGGTAATCTTGACGAGGCCGGGGGCTCTGCACGGGACTAGGCCTCACCACGGCACTCTGTTAAGTTCGTAGTTAACTGCTATAGAGTCGGAAGATACTACTGCAAAGTCTGTAGATACTACTGTAGAGTCGGTAGATACTATTGTAAAGTTGGGAGATACTACTGCAGAATCGGTAGATACTAGCAGCGCTCCCGCCATGTATTTTTTCCTGCTTCAGCAGTTCTCACCTGATGACGATTGCTTGTGTTGCAATCGACAAGTCTTGATATTGTGATTCTTTGTTTTATTTTATTATAATTTTTCTATCTATGTGGCTTTACCGAAAGACCCAAAGAATATCTATTGACCCCCCACTTTCTATAACTTGTTGGACTTCTGCAAGCCTCTTATTTTTTTGACAGACAAATGGACAAACAGCACACCGGGCTTTCACAATAGTTAAGTATTTGTGTATGTATGTTATGTTTTAAGATAAGTTTTTAAATATATTTTCCCCCTGATAACGCCGAGTACTTCCCGCAAGTTTATATAACTGGTGAGACTTAAGTAGGTATTTGAAAAATAAAGATTTTTTGCATTAAATGTATAAACTTTAGTTATATTAATATAATATACTAATTATATTTTGAGGTACCGCATTTTTTTATCAAAATAACATGTGACAATGTCAAATCATTTCTTAATATGTTACTATATTTTACAGATACATTTTTATAGTTTTAAATTAAAACATAATACATCATAACTTTCCCAAGAAAATAATTCAGAGATCTATTACGTAACCACATCCACATTTTGTCCAGCAAAGTTAGAGCAGCAGATAATTTTAATAGCATTTAACCAAAACTCATTTTATGACATGAAAGGACAAGCCCGTAAAGGACCTCTTGGGCCATTGTGACGCTAGAATGTGCACCATAGCGACGCGTCATTGGCCGTCGCTCTTGCGTAGCAGGTGCTAGCGGGGCAGTGTACCTAGTTGCTCATGCGTACACGACCAACGTCATCGTGGGTCCATGAATCCCTGCAGCGGAGACGCAGGAGCCCAGGGAGAGCGGCATTTCACATCACGGAGTTGCACATCACAGAGAATCGGACGAGCGAAATGCAGGCGGACAGAGGATGGAATTGAAGGCAGAGTAGCAGACGAGCAGGGTGGTACACACACTGAACTAACATTGTAAGTTCTCGCGCAAAAATAGTGCATTATTCATTGAAAGCTGTTTCAATAAAGATTATCAACTAAGCAACTCGGTGAGTAGTAATTATGTGTGTAATTAATTAACATGATTTATTTGTAGTGCTAGCATTTAGTAATGTAATGGTGTTCGATTTTTTATTTTAAAAAAAACAAGGTTTTTGTTTCAGTGTGGTTCAAAGTCAAAGGGACATTCCCAAGACACAGGCATGAAAGCTGATCATTATCGATGGTTGCACTATACCTATTTTCATAATGCATCATTCGTACCAAAAGGCAGTGTTATCCCTCCCATCACCAATTTCTTTTTACAGCATTTGTGATTTAGTTTTTTTCTTTAGCCACAGTTCTTTCAAAACAAAAGGTGGGGTAAGATTTGAATGGGTAATTGTAGGTTGTCATGTGCAAAACATTTTAATTGACTTCACTACCTTAAGTGGAGGGCAAATATATTGTGATGCCACAATTATTGTCCATTTTGCACATGTTAGAAGTTTAACAGTGCATGCTTTGTGTTAAATTTATTATAAAATTTTACTCCGTATTGCGAGTATTTGTGCAGATTACTAGTGTGCCGACAGCATGATCTTTAAAGAGATTGCTCTGATGGTCAGTGGAAACTGCCTGTCCTCACAGTAACCAAGGCGTCTCTCGTTGACAAAAGAGTAAACAGCATAAAAGCTGCTGACGTCAAAAAAGGCACACAAGTAATTTGCCGAGAAGTCATTTTGCCGCGTGCTGCAATAATTCAGGTTTCTTGTGTGACTCTTAATTGGTGGGGAATAAACCCACAGTCACCCCCATGATTATAAAACTCAAATCGGTCGCATGCACAAGGATACAGGGGGACCTTTTGATGACTTTGCTACTTTGGCACACACTTTGGCAATGTTCCCAAGCAAATTGTCTGGTGGTTATGGTGTTTGGTAGGTGCCTCTGCCAGTGAATAAATTTAACCGGCAGGAAACGCGTAACAAGATGCATGCGTGACATTCTCTTCTGTAAATGACTTCCTGTTTCAATTAAATATAGCCAGCCTCTGCTCAGCTCCTAAAAATGAGCATCTGCACCTGTCAGATAATTTATATAAATTGTTGCATTCATTCTTTTTTTATGGATAGCAGAATACAACATGGTGTGTTAAAAAGTAAGCATGGATTTAAATTAGAATTTTTTTTGCATACTTCATTGTACAATTTTTGAATTTACATATCTGCCATAAATTAGCATTTTGCTTTAAATGCATAACAATGTGTGCACAAGTGCTGGTGCAAATGAATTACTTTCACAATTTTTGCATAACACTGGTTTTGTAGATACTGTTTCTGCATCGCACATTGGTTTTGTAGATACTATTTTTGCATCTACTGTATTGATATACACATTATAGGTGTGTCGCGGTGCATCGATTTATTAATTACAATAGATTCTTACCCCATGATGCAATCACTGTTATCGTATGTGTAAGAGTGGATTCGTTAAAATGAACAGAGGTATGCAATACTTTGCTTGACCCTTCCAGCCAAAATGCACAACAGTGTAAAAAAGTTATTCATTCTGTACATGTATCGCGACCTTAAATGGCAAAATTCATTGAATCATGAGGGGGACATTAATATAGCCCTATTCTATGATTCTTTAGATAAAGTCACGTATATATGAAAACAAATTGACGATTGCTTGTGTTGTGATCGAAACGTTGTGATATTTGTATTATTTATTCACTTTATTTTCATTGTTTTTCCTATCTACGTGACTTTACCGAAAGAACCCTAGAATATGAATTCCTGCAGTCACGAAAGTTTTAAGTAAAAAATTAATATAACCCTACTACTCTTGGTAAAATCACAATACTAGCCTGGCATGCCTATAATTACATACTAAAAAATATACAGCAATGATTGAATATCAATGGCAATGTTATTTTTATAATGTAACATTTTAAAAGCATAAAAGAGCCACAGTTGACCCCACTGATATCCTGAACCCATGAAAATGTTTTGCTTTGGATTACAGTGAGGTTTCAATTTTAGCCTTTACAATATGCAAGCAATCCCTACTGGACCTTCGAGGACATGAGTCATTGGTCTTTTCCTTGCATATTCGTACTATTGTGTAGCTGTTCCCTTGAACTTTGTGCAGCACAGGTTACCAGACTCTCAGAGATATTATTCACAAACATGATATTCTAATAATGCCATTAAATACGATACATTTTGTACCCTCCAGGTCAGCCTGCCCGGATATGTGTGGTTTGCAGTGCTTTGGAAGGGACAAAAGAGCAAATTATGTTGCTGGCTATGTTGAGAAATGTGTATATATTGGATGTCCATCAATTTTTTTAAATCTGAAATGATGTTAAATCTGAATTGTTTTTTTTTTCATTTGGATGAGTCGACATATTGTTTGGTGATGATGGTCTGCCACATTTCATTCAGATTTTCACACTGCAGGCTTGGCTATTAAGGCTTTGGATGTTGGCTGAAAGTGTTTAAGCTTAATGGCTTTTGCCAAATGTATCCATGCATGGAATGTAAAAGTCTCCAATAACTGCCGTACTGTCATTGCGAGAAGTCTCCATATTGTTGAATCTTTTTTTATGACCCTATTCATCCCATTAAAAAATTGTCTTACAAACGGCAAAGAAATCATTGTCAAAGTACAGCGTTGGTATTAGAGAAAGAGTGTATCGTTCGTGAAGGTGCTCAGTCATATATATCATATTAAGTTTGTTTAAGTCTTCAAAAGTGAGATTTAAACTGTTTTTTTCATTATTTACTACAACGTACGTTAATAAGTAACTTAATAAATGTCAATATATGTTCTTCCTATACTGTCTAAAATCAGCTTCAACAGTGCATGATAGATATTCCTATTGGTTCCAGAATTTAACTAGTGTGTACTTCCTTGTGTCTTTGTCGATATAATTGTGCCTGTATAACGATCCATCACAAGCTGAATACTGGTAAACACTAACAAAGGCTCACCCTCTTAAGCCTCACCTTACCATATTAATAAAAAGTGTGCTGTACTCGGCCCTTACCCCCCCCCCCCCCTTCTCCAACCATTATATAAATTGAGTGGTAGCTCCTGCAATCTCTCATTTACTTGATACAGCTGTCGTGGCTGTGACGGTTCCACCTGAAGACGGAAGCGTGTGTTGCCTCCGAAACGTCGTGATTTTTATTTTATTTTACTTTTATTAATTTTAATGTTTTACCTACGTGACTTTACCGGAAAAACCTAAGAATACTGAATGACTCATTATCTTTGTTGTTTCTTTTCAGGAAAACATGCAGACCCTTGGTAAAGAGATTGAAAGACTCACAAAGCTTATAGAAGAACATCAGACAAAGAATCAACCCTAAATCAGCATTGCTTGTGCATAGGCTGGTAAATGTCTTACGTGCAAGTACTTTGATCTCTGAGCTCGGTACAACGGCTTCAGTTGAACACAAATGATCATGACGTGTATTTCAGTTTTATAAGCACATTGCTCTAAATCGTGTTTGCTATAATTGCATGGCTGGAATTCTAAGTTAAATTCATTCTAACTCTAATGTGAAAGATGTATGCGTGTGATAATTGAATTATATATATTACAACAAAAAACATTTTGCGTTTTAAGGTTATTTTCCATTGCAATGTGGTATGTTAAATTATATTATTTACTGCCAAAGATGCACTGTATAAATTAAGGTGATGAAATGCAGAGCATTCGGTGCATATTTGACTTTCTCAATTATTTCTGTCGTAAAAATGATTCGTTATTATCTATTAGAGGTTTTCCACATCACATGTACATATCATGCCACTGGCTGCACAATATTTTCCCATCAATTGGTGTGGATTCACTGCGCCAGTTTGCTACACAAATCCAGTGTCTGCTGCTGCTGTACACTAATGTTGTCGGAGCTAATCACATGTCTTTACTGCAACATTATCTTGTTTGTGGGCACTGGCCTGTAACGTGACACTCCAAGAATGCAGTTCACCTACCCTCACTGGCTAACTTGCAGATCCAGTGATGCAAATCATTCCATGAGTTCCCACCATGTCATGCCAGAACATAGTGTCGTGATCTCCTCACATGGATAAACTGTAGAGTGACTTACTGATCTCTTGTGTACTTTCTAATCTCTTTCAAGTGTAATAGTGCATTCATAATACCATAAAACATATGAAGCCAGTCACCCATGTGAACTGCATCAACATACCATCAACCAAATGTGTGTATTTTTAATGAGATATATGTATAATATGTATATATAATTGAGATGCTGGTTATAGTTGAGTAGAACATTATGAACTGTAATATTTACTTTTTTTGGGAAGAAAATATGCTTTGCGTACTTTGTGGCAGACATGTGGACATTGCCTTGAACGGGCAACGGCTCCAATCCTTCTCAACCAAAGTTACTTCCCTTTTCATTCTGTTGCCAGTGTAAGATGATAAGAACCATTTATATAACGAATTCTAAATATAACAGTAGAGGACGGCATTAATTTAATGTGACCATTTGAAGAATCTTAGTGCTAACTGCCAAACCCAAATTATAACGCCTTGGCCATCATATGGATAGCACGTTTTTTTCCCAAGCATATTGTGCTCTTGCCCCAATTGCTAGACAGTTTTCCAAATAGTTAAGTCATATTTTTTATCATACAAGCATATACATTGTCCAAGTAATGGTATGTGCCAAGTATCTGTTGTATAAAAGTGACCATAGCTCCTATTAATGCGGTATTGTCTACATAAAATAGTCAATTGATGACCTGTTTAAATTATCCCCAACATTGTTAACAATGCATGCTGCACATCCATGTAGGTAGGTGTGATATGTGTTCATGTACACTTACGGTTTATTTTAAATGTTCTTTGTGTTGTGTGTGCGTCTGGTTCTTTATGTAAAATTTATGAACATAACCATTTTTGATTCTATTTTAATTGTACCTTATCTGTATTTTAGTATGTTGAAGTTTGCTGTCTTTCATGCCCTGCAAATATCTATTGGTTTTACAATAATTATGAAATGTTAACATGAAAGCATTTTTGTCATTAAGTCACGTCGTAGAGAAATAAAAACATACTGTATATATGTATATGTGTGTATAAATATATACAGTATATACATTTACACATGTGTAATGTACATTGTTTCTTAATGTGTTCATTCTTGTATGTATATATGGAAATATCGTTTAATAAAGGTTTTCATAACTTCATTGTGCAATTGTTTTTATTCATGCACTTAATGTAATTATTTGAATGTATTGCGATATCATCATTACGATGTGTATTTATCATCAATGTGCATTTATCCTGTCAAACAACAGGTTTTGCAGTCACTGGTTATGTCACAAGTAATGTGTTCATATGTCCTGTCATCGGACTACTTTATACAATTTGAAATTGAGTTTAATAAATTGGTGAAAGCAGGGCTGATGGGCCAGAAACTAATAAGGTCAGCCATCAGTTCTAGTTGATCCCAATCACATCACTCCCATCTATAATATTAATTCTAGATTTGAAGCTTTCGTGACTGCAAGGATTCATACTCTTAGGCTTTTTCGGTAAAGTCACGTAGGTAAAAAATTAAATTAATAGAAGTAATAATAGAAATAAAATAATAAATCACGACGTTTCGGAGGCAACACA